CTGAAAAGACTGTAGGAATTCTTGCCAGTTAAAACTGATCAGGGAGGAATTGCTCATCATCTGGGAGAGTCCAGTAAATCTTTGCAGCCCTTGCTTTCATTGCATTACTCTCCAAGCTCTCTTGGATGGTAACAGAGCACGCTTCAGTTTTGTTGTTGTTGTCTGTGTGTGTGTTATGAAATGACCTGGCTTTTTTCCTCCCAGTATCTTGTACTTCCAAATACACCATGAGAATGAAGTTGTCATGTTGGTAAAGCAAAGGTGCATGGAGACAGAGCAGCTGGTTGATAGATTTTATTGGCCACCCATGAGAAGGACAAATTTATGGAGTGTTGGCTGGGCATCAGTGAGATTGCTGACAGGTACGAGTGACCTCAATTAATCTGAGGGGTGTTCCACTAATAAGGCAAATTTATCATACTTTTTGCTAAGTGCAGAGGTTGAAAGAAAACATAAAAATTTAAACACAGAGCTGTTCACCACAGCTCTGATAGAGCAGATCCCCATATAGCCAGTCTTCATGTCGTTACTTGTGATTCCACAACCACAGAGCAGAGCATCTCCTTTGGTCCATCCCCCTTTCCCCACTCCCAGCACAGGCAGCACTTCTTGATAATGCAGCTCCAGCTCCTGGTTCCAAAAATTCATAATATCACCCCCCATTCCTGTCCAGGCTGTCTGTATTGCACACCAGTAGATCAGTGCTCCATAAAGTAGTTAGGCATGTTTGTTTGGGACTTTTTTTTTGGAAGCAGGCTATACAGTTAATAACTTTCTATATAGGTTTGACTTTAGGTAAATCCACAAGAGCCTGTGAACCTCCCTTGGCACATCCCACTTCCAGTTTTGCTCACTTGTGCCACTCCATAGGAAGAGATGCTCCTGACCTCAGTCCTCATGTCAAAGCCCTGCTTTGAAGTTTCTTTTTTTTACAGCAGACCCCTCTTTCTGTGCTGTGAAATAAAACCAGAGAGCACACTCGTGTTGGTTATGCTGCTGCAGTGTAAATATTAGAGGAACCCAAGGCACATGGCAGGGTTCCCAACACAGCCCAAGGCCACAGCTCTGCTGCAAACTACTTTTTAATGAATCGAGTTTCTGGGTGGCAACTGGGATGACCTCCCTTCAGAGGCTGTCGTGCCTGATGAGGGCAAACAGCAAGGAGACGCAGTGGAATAAGGAATCTCGTTCCTGCTTCCTGAGTGCTTTCCAGCTGCAGTGACAAAAAGGCAGTTTTTCATTCTGAAATCAGGGAGGACTTAAAATTATAAGTGCCTATGGATTACAAAAAAAAATAATAAGTAATGTAAGTTATGAGGTTGGATTTCCACACTGCCAGAGGTGAAGAAGAGGAGTCAACCCCAGTGACTCCCTTCAGTATTTCCTCCAGAGATTTATGCAACAGGCTGGGCAAGAGGCTCAGACTTCCCAGATGAGAGTGGGAGAGCTCAGGCTCCACAAGTTGATGCAGTGTTGCCAGATTTGTAGTATGATCCTTTCCTTTCTCTGTTCTCCCCTGCTGCTGGACCCCATCTGTGTGTCTTGTATTTACTGTTTACTGGCTGTCTTGTGAGAAGGGAGATGAAAGAGGTGGACTGGAGGAATATTTTGTAGCTTTTGCAATCTGTATCTTTTTTGCCTGATATAGTACAAGACCCAAAGGATACAGCTGGAGAGATATGCCATGTTATAGAAGCAATCTCCCACTAGTTTCCCAGGCTGGCTAAATAGATGTGTGAATGTATATTCCTTCCTGAAGCTCTTACTTCATCACTGCCCCTCAAACCAGCCCTGCAGGCTCAGACTCTGCACTTGCACATCCCACCTCCACAATGCCGTGAAATGGGGCCAGCAAACGAGTTCTCCACCTCTGAAAGCCATGCATCCCATCTCATCCCGCTTCATCCTTGCCTGGGGCTTCGGAATAATATTCCAGATGGTCCAAGGCCCTTTTCAGTGAGAGCCTGCCCACAGCTGGGCCTGTGGTGGCTGCTCCTTGTGCGGCTTTGAATCGGTGCCGGCTCTCACGGCGTGTCAGTTTGGCAGTCATCTGTTTTGCAACCCAGAACTTTGCAGGGGCATTATTTCCCTTTGTTCCGTGTACTCCCTGAATTTCTCAGGGAAAAAGGTACTAAGAGTTGAACTGGCTGAAATGTGTCATTTCCTTTTCGCAGGAAATCCTGTTGTTCTGGGAAAGTCTTTTCTTAAGGTTTTAACGTAGGACTGTAGCCTTAAAAAAAAAAAATAGCTTATGTAAGAGAGACCATCCATCACTGAGGAAAACTGAACCCAAGATCTAATTTTTCCAGGATGCAGGTCGTACAGACTTGGGAGCACAGTGCTGTTATGTGCATCCAGATTTTATGCCCTCACCCAGATCCCATGCTGTGACAAAGAAGGTTTTCCTGGTGTTGAGCTTCCCTTTGTGTTTCTTTGCTAAATACCTTTTTTTTTTTTCTTTTTTAATGAGGACAATTGCTTCCCATAACCAACTCAGCAGCGTTTGAGTTATGGTTAATACAGTTCTTACTTGATTGTAATAGCTGAAAATTAGGAGTATTGCATCAGAATCTTTTGGAAATTATTAACTATTAGCAAAACAAAGCTTTGTGTGGGAGCTTGGGCACCTCAGCTGTTTGTCCACAGACTCGGGAGGCTCTCTAGAGTGAAAACTCATGCAGTGAACAAAAAAAGAACAGATATTTCTCTTTAGTTCAAGTGTTCATGCCCACCTTATCCAAGGAAGAGACCCAGTAAACAAAGGGAGCTCATTTAAAAGGGAGGTACCCAATTCTTCTGCAGTAACTGAAGGAGGACAGAACTGCTCCATCAAGCCAGTTTAACAAAGCAGTTACTAATAGGAGTAAAGTATGAAAATAGAGGGGTTTTGTCCATTCCAGTTATATACGTATATATATATATTTACTCCATGTGTTACATGTGCTATACAGACAGTTTGGAAAGAAGGAGTCTAAATGTTATTGTTTCAGTGTTACAAAGCAAGACTTTGAGTTTGAAATGAGGAGAGTGAAACATTAATTAAGTGCAGCACAATGAGGAACTATGTGAGAGCCTGAGAGAGGTGGATTACCTTTCATTTTGTTGGCTTAGATGATAACTTCCAAGGTTTATTTTTATGACACTGGGAAAAATATCACACAACTGTTTGTCTTTGATTCTTCAACTTCAATGTTTCCTGAATCAGCTCTGTGGAAGGAGGAGAAAGGGTTTGTTTGTTGAATACCTATTGTGCAGCTTTGTTTACAGAAGCCCTTTGTTTGCAGCTGTTCCTAAACTTAAAATATTTTGTGCTTAAAACAGGTTGCTGCATCTCTGTAGGGATATGATTTAAAATGCTGCAGCCCATGTGTTTCAGTGTGACTGTTCTGGGACCTGATGAATGAGTACGGTTTAAGAGGTGACACAAAGAAGGCATTTTGGGGAAGCTGCAGCAACAGGGATCATAGAAAGCCAGACACACTTTTTTGAGCAGTTCCCCAGGCAGCAACACAAATTTGTGGAGAAAAAACCACAATATTTCAACATCCCCAAGCAAGGCAAGCAACTGGAGTTACCACCCAGCAGAAATCCTTTTGCTCTGCACCGGAGCAGAGGTGATCAGACAGTCGGTGTCAGGCCATGACGTGTGCCCTGGGAGGAGGTGGGAGCTCTCGCTGGGATTCTGCTGAGGCAGCTGGGGAGAATCAGGTCTGCTGTGCTCCTCGAGCTGTCAGGGGTGACACTGGGGGTCTTTTCTTCCCCAACCCTCCGAAGGCTTCGTGCTGTGATAGATTGAGGCAAATGTAATGGAATGCAAATCCTGTGCTTGTGCCTCTCCTGACATCGAGCCGCTTAAAATAATCGCGAGTCTCAAGAAAGCAGACAGAATCTGGCAGCTCAGAGTTATCCTTTAACTCAACAGCACAAGAGGAGTCCTTGGTTTTGGATGGCTTGTGGAGTGCTTTTGGGAGATGAAATGGCTCTTCATTTCATGGCAGATTTTGTCCCCATGCAGGGTGTGAACAGCCGTGAGGAGCAGTGGAGACTGCAGGCTCACACAGAATCTCTGGAAAGAGGCAGATCAGTCCTGTCCTTCAGGAAACAGCCATGTTCAATTCACTTCATTACAGGCCAGCAGTCCAAAACTGCATCTGACCACCAGAAATGCTTGTTGAGTCAATGCCTATTGAGTATGACACCATTGTTGCCGCATTCCTTGCTCCCCAGAAAAATGTCTCAAGAAGAAATGTTTAAAATTTGGGCTCAGTTTGATTTAAGAACAATTAAGACCTATAGTTTCCAGACCTAGAAGGACAGTTTCCTGCGGCTGTACAGCTATAACAGGTGTGTCCTTGAATGGTTTAGATCTTCACTTAATGCTTAGGTTACTCATAGTTTTGTAGACCTGCTGCCTTTCAAGCTGGTGTTCCATTTTGGGTGCTGCTGCTGTTTTCCTTGCTGTGCTGGCACCAACCCATTGTGGTCCCTGTGGTTTTTGTGTCCTTGGGAGGATGTGGTGCTCCAAAAAGGCCATTGATAATACCAGGACTGTGCATTTTACAGGCTGTCTTACCCTGTGTAACAAGGCCTGTTTGAAAAGGGCTGTGGTGAAATTCTGTGGGAAGCACAGGATGCTCAAGGGTTTGCTGCATCTCAGATATCTCCATCTCTTTCACCCTTGAGAGCATACACATAAATTTGGTGCTATTTTAGATGGGGATTTTTTCATTTTGGTTTTGTTTTTTGAAGCTGTGAAAGTCTCTTGAGAAGATCCTTTACACTTGGGTAACACAAGTGACATAAATGCTTGTATAGGGAGCAAACCACAGCCATGATACTCTGCTCTGTAAACCATACAGCAACATCTCCTTTGGGAAATGCAGAGGCAGCCTGATAGCTGAGGTCTGTGCCATCAGCTCAGGAAGCCCAGCATTCCCAAGCCTGACCTACAAACGTGGATCTTCACTGTGCTCACCAGTCTCTCATTTGATTTTCCACAGGAGCTCTGACTCTGAAGAAGCCTTTGAGACCCCGGAGTCCACTACACCTGTCAAGGCACCACCTTCACCTCCACAGCCAGCCCCTGAAGCAGCAGCAGCAGCTGTGGTTGTTGCAGACATAGCAGAGCAAGAAATAAAACCCCAGCTGCCCTTAGAAGACACAGGTAATAAGGATGTAATGGGTGGAACGGGTTACTGAGGGAGGTGAAGCTGCAGGGAGGTGTTTTTCTAAGCATAAGCAAGGAATTGATGCCATTAAATTGTCTTCTGGAATATTCATTTAGTGTGTTCTGGGCATTATCCATGCTGGGTTAAATAAACAAATATAACCCTGTTGCACCTGGAACAAAGTTTAGGAAAATCTCTCCATAACATTTGAAAATGGTAAACAAAAGAGGAGTTTTCTAGAAAAACATATTTTTTTCCTTTTGAATCAAACTTCTTTCTGTAGGATCTTTACAGAATCAGCTGAGTAGAAAAAGGAAGCGTGAGATGCAGATGTAGTACCTCAAAAAATCAAAACAATTTTGACAGTCAAAAACCATGTCATTTTCAAACGTGTTGTTACCTGAAACAGGAGGTGATCAAAAAGCCCATTAGAACAGTAGAACTATTGATATTAGAGTTATAGCAGGAGCATGGGAGAAGGTATGACTGTATGTATAGTATACATACATAAAATTGGTACATACTGGGAAAATAACCTTTAAAAAAGGAGACTTGTCTTTAAAAACTAAATGAATGCTTTCCCCAGGAAAGTGTTCTTTGTTCTCCAAATTGAGTAATGGAATATGAGTGAGTAGAAAGCATGCTATTAGCCCAAAATAGCTTTGTTTGGGCTGTCAGATGACAGCTCAACAGTCTAAGACTAAATTCCCCATTATACTCTCTTTTTTTCCCATCTGAAAGTCAAGTCATCCCGATCACCTGGCTAAATTGCACAAAGGTAATATTACTCCCAGCAGACTAAAGCTCGCTTGTACTGCCTTTAGAAAGATGCTGTGGCATCCCACCCTCCAGAGGAAGGGAACACCTGAGATTTGTAAATGCTCCTGGTCGAAAGGAAGAGGGTCTGCAGCAGCTCACCAAGTTTTATTGGCAGATAACACACTTGGCATGGAAATTGGGACGTTAGTCCCTGACCTCCCAGTGTAAGAATGGGGCAGTGGGTTTTGGATAAAGGGACAGGTAGAAGGAGAAGGAGAGAGATGAGTTAAAGAGGGAGAGACAGAGGAAGAAAGGAAGAAAATGAGAGTCCTGGCTCCAGCACTGATCCAGCTGATGGGGTGTCCAGGACTGCACCCAGGCTTTGTGGGGGGACCTTTGTATGGGTAAGTTTTCCCTGCCCTGGAGATGAGTTTCTTGCTTTCTATGCAGATTAGTTACCATGCACAGTCTGTTCTTCTGGACTTTTCTGGAAATGGGTCAGAGAACTTCAGTGGTCTCTGATGGTCTTGATGCCCCTCTGCAGTCCATGCCCACTGCTTGGCTTCATTCCTGCACTTGTGCCGTGCTGTGTTTATCTCCAGGAGATAACAAGGATGTTTGTCCCAGCAAACTGCTGCCCTAACTCCCTGTGGCTCTTTCTCCAGCCACATTCTGTTCTTTCCCACAGAGTGTTATTACCAACAATGTTTGGTTGTCATTGCCAACAATCCTTGGTACACATTAGCCCCCTTATCATCTGGGCTTCTGCAGTTGTCTGGTGTTGCCAGGCAGTGTTTTAAAGCTTCCCTTTCCACTCTGGGAAGGGAATGTTTAGCACTGGGCAGAGCAGTGTCCAAGGCTGGTGTGTGTGTTACAAAGGCTGCCCAGCTCTGACTTAAACCTGCAGGAAAGTGTCAAATAAGTCTTGCAAATGTCTTGAACCCCCTAGAGCATTTCTGGGCAGTTATCCTTTAAGGAATGCTCTTTAAGATCGTGATTTATGATTCAGTTTTATAAGCAGCTCGAAAGACGTTCAACAAACTGACTCCACAAAATAAAAATTAAATACTCAGGCATCTTGTCCCTTTTCCCTTTCTGTTGTTACAGTTCCCCTTTCATTGTAGCAACGGTTACTGGTTCTCCATCTTGTTTTCTTTTTCTAATCTTTGGCAATGTAATGATCACAAAATAAGCACTGAGAGAACAAAAGAACGCATATGCTGAACAGGATTGGAGTGTGTCTTTAATTACTGCAGTAGATTATCTTCAAACCCTTGATTACACATGTGCTTCCCTGGCACGTGTGACTCTTGACTCCTTACATCCCGGCCCCCCTGCCTCCTTTCTCTCAGATATTTCTGAAGTAAATAGAAATAAAACCTGAATATATCTATTCATAGCCAGTGTGGACTGTATTGAAGGCCACTGGATGGCAGAGGTGAAACCATTTCAGTTGCAAATCAGATTGACCATGGGAGGCAAGTTACCACAAAGTAACAGAGCTGTGTTCAGTGTTCCAAAATTATGCAAAATGCAGTTATACAACAGGGTAATTTGTTGGAGGGGAAAAAAACCAAAAAGATGCGTAATGCAGAAAAAATTCAAATGTAGGAGGGCAACACAAAGCACCCATTTGATTTGGAAATCTTTAGAAGGCATGAATAATACTAAGTGTATAGCTTAGGTGTTTAGAAATGGGAAAAGTTGAACTCTTTGTGCTTTCCTAAACCACTTGGGTATCTGGCAGTTTATTTACCCCATGAGTTACTCATGTAGCTGCACACGGAGGGAACGAGACCCTTCCTTGGGTGTCACAGGCAGAGCTGCAGCAGAGTCCCTTGATGGTACCACACAGCTCAATAAACAGGTTTCAGCAAAGCAGGAGTGGGAGCAGGGGCAGCTGCAGAGCCTGGCACAGGGAGAGGCAGGGCTGTCCCGCTGGGTTTCTGCTCCACCAGCCCCACGGCTTTGTCTCCGGCACGAGGTTGGTGACAGAGCACGCGTTTGGGTGGAAGGAGGAGGCACAGTGAGTGTTTAGAGGAGCATTTCATCCCTGGCTGACAATAATTACTTATGCAGATGGCTGCAGTTGTGCTGCACGGTATCGTTAGGACGGCAGCTGGACCCCACTGCTGGAAAGCCAAGAGGAGAGTTTTTAATTAGGCCGACTTCAATGCTGGTTTAATAAATATGATGAAAGGGAACTAGAGCTAAACTCATCCTGGGTTTGTGCCAGCTCCTGGTGGGGTAAAACCTGCTGCATGGCTCCTGTCCATCGACAGCAGAGCACAGGAGGGGAGTCAGTCTGAGGGCAAGTCTGGAGGGGGAGAGGAGTAACAGAGCATGTGTAGAAACTATTCCTGAACCCCAAAAGTGCCACCAGCAAGCCCTTCCATTCCTCCCTAAATAAATTGTGGAAATGTGGGTTATGCTCTTGAGGCAAATTTGAGGGTTTGAGTTTGCATTTATTAGTTTTTATCATTATTTTGGTTATATTTTATATTATTGTTGCTTGTCTCATCAGCTGCTTTCGAACAGCAGTGACCTCTTGTTCCTTGTTTCATCTAAGCACCAGAAAGTCCCCCAAGCCTTTTCTCTCAAATGACCCTCTTGCTGGCCAGGAATTCCTGCCTGGGCAGGGCTGTTTCTTCTCCTACCCCCACTGCCTGCCCCAGCTGATAAATGAATTCAGATTATGTTCACAGGGCAGACGTGAGAGCTGGAGAGCCCTCTGTGCATTACAGACCAACAATGAGGATATGGGACACCTACATTTGGGTCCTTCTGGTGCCAGGGAAATTGAGGTCAGGCTTTCCAGTAGAGACTTGATGGCCCAGACAAAAACAAATGAATTTTTGGTGTGGAAAACATTCTTCTTTGGTGGTTTTCCTCTTGAAGCCTGACACAGAAAAAAATGAAAAGAAACTTCATATGCAAAGTTTTCTCTCAGAATAAGTGACAAAAGCACTTTTACAGAACTTTTTAAAAGTGCTGCGAATTGATTTTCTGACTTCAAAGGCTTCTCCTAACAAGCAGGGACTTGAAATAAACTGTGTTTCAAATTTTCTAATGTTAGGTAGTTACAATTTCTGTATGCTTTCGGCAAAGTGTACTTTTCTCCTGAGTTATTTCCTCATAACAGAGTATGTGGGTGCATACTGTATGCATTTTCCAGGGGTTTGCCTTTGTTTGCTTTTCTCTAGAAAACAGAACTAGAATTTAATTTCTTCTGTATTTACTTTTTTTTTAGATCTGGCTAAATTTTGTTTCTAAGCCTTTCAAAATAGTGTTTCATTTTGTTTTGCAGTTCACCAGTGTTAAGGCCTATTTTCAGCTTATTGGGGTTTCAGAAATACTTCATCAAAGAAGCCCCTTTGCCTGGATACTCCTGTAGCTCCTTGAGCAACTGCTGCCACTGAGTATCTGCATTTCTTTCCTGAGGCTGTAAAAGCCCTAAATCCTGATACCCATCCTGATCTAATCTTCAAATGCCTCCTATCCTTTCATGTTCAATATAAAGCAGTTTAATGAAAGTTTGATGTCCTCATCAGTGAACAGTTCAAGGCACATGCATGGGATTTGCTGCTGTTCAGATCATTTACAGATCCCTGCTGAAAGAAGGCTGAGTTAGCTGAGGTGTGTGTCTGCCTCACTGTTCTTGTGGGACATTAAAGCTTTACAAGCACCTGTAGTGCCATGTGTTTTGTAATGTCCAAAATAAGATGTCTGTAGTTGACTAGAAACAATTTTTAATTCTGGTGGGGGTTTTTTTGTTGTTGTTGGTTTTTTTGTTTTGTTTTGTTTTACTAACAATGAGAATTTGTTTTATTTTACTAATGCACACAGCCTTAAAATATCTTGTTATTAACATTCTCAAGCATGCTGTGAGATTCTTGGAGATGTCCTGTGCAGGGCCAGGAGTTGGACTTTGATGATCTCTGTGGGTCCCCTCCAGCTCAGGATAAACATTCTTTGACTTTCTAGCAACTTTTGATTGTGCCATAACGGGTGCCAGGTGAAAATACCAAGCATTAAACACGCCATGTAGCTCTCATCTTTAGGTCTCATCACCTGGATACAAAACATCTGGGGGTTTTTGGTGGTTGTTTTTGGGTTTGAGGTTGTTTTTCCGTGGTTTTTAATGAAGTACTCTAGTAACACTGATTTGCTTGGTTTTGTGTTGCAAAAGGACAAATGTCACTGCTCCTGAATAGGCTGTTAATGTCAGGAAAGAGTGATCTTCTTATCTTCTGTAGTAATAAGGCTGTCAGTACTGTTTGTGTCTTCTCCTCCAGCAATTCAGGGCTGAGCCAGCAGTGCCAGGAGAGTCTGACAGCAGCATTTCCCTTCTGCCAAAAGCCATGTTTTCTGAGGCAGTTTCACGTCTTGTTTCATAGAGAAACAATAAAAATATCACAGTGGCGACTCGAGCAATGCTCTGCAGAAATCCATACCTTGAGTAAAGGATTTGATTAGGAGGAAGTTGTGAAATGAGCAGTTAAAGGAGAGGAAAGCCCTGCACGGTGGAGCACACCGAATCTGAATGCTTGGAGTAGCTGGAAAGCCTTGTACGCTCCCTCTGCGTGATGATTCCCGAACCTCAGCCTCTTATTTACAGTCCAAGTCCTGCAGGGACAGAGCTTTATTTTATTTTATTTTGTTTTAATGCATGTTTGTACTGCTTTGAACAGGGGCCCCAGCCCTGTGGAGGGCTTTGACGTAGGCTGGAATGAAAGCAGTGCATAACTGCCGATGATTTCTTATTCAGATCCTGCTTTTATTTCATGCTGACCTACATTTGTACTCTGCTGGCAGTGTTTATTGTGATGTATTCCCCTGAAGCGTCTTCCATGCTTCTTTCGGGGTAAAATGGACAGATTAGGCTGATGCTGGAGGTTTATGGCACTCTCTGAGTGCCCTTAACAGGAGTCCCATCAGTGTCAGAAAGTGATGGGTCTGTCAAGTGAGCACCAGCAAACAAAGCCTAATTAATGGCGCCTCAGCCAGGCTGAGACTGAGCCCAACCCAGTGGGGACTAAGGAGAAAAATAAACTGTCCTGAAGTACTGCCACATTATTAGCATTCATTTAGCAGAAAAACACATTAAAATACTGTTTTAATTGATGTCTCTTAGTGAACTTCCCCGGTCTAACAGAGAAACTGAGTAGCTGTCATTCCTTTGACAGTCTCTGGAAATACATGGTGCCACTTTAAGGAACTGCTTTGGGAAATGTGTCCAATTCCCTTAAATCCTTTCTGTCCTCTACACCCATAAATAATAATTCTTGCAGTCTCTGTGCAGACATACAATTTCTTCTGAAATTACCTTCTGAAACAAAGGAAATTTTATTTTTCTGTTCTTAATCCAGTCATAGCTTCTCACTAAAAGTAATAATTGGTTGCTCATATTGCTTTTATGAACAGTGTTAATGAATGTGGCTGGGCAAAATGGGAGTTATTTTGCAAAACATGTCAGGATTGGAATGACAAAGAAGTGTAGAAATGTCTCTGGAATCATTTAGGGCCGAGCAAAGCATTCATTTTTGTTGGACTGTTTTCCTGCATAATTGCATAATTACAAAAAAAATGACAACATGAAGAATGCTGTGTTGCTTCAGTAGGAAACGTGAGGGCATCTTGGTGCTCAGTGAGAGCTCTGAGCAGCTGGTTTAGCCCGGCTGAGCTGTGAGCTGAGCAGAGATGCCACAGAGACACACGGCCAGAGGTGACCGTGTTACATTCACACCAGCGGCAGTGCAATGACAGCAGGAGCAAACCGTGTTCAGGGTTTGTAAAACGTTTGAATAATCAACCTAATGAGCTGGAAGGCAGTAAGGACCATCCTCTTAATCCTTTCCTACCTATATATTTTCTATTTTTTTTTTGATTTTCTATCTTATTCTGCTTTGCCAGTAGAGTTGTTATACCCCAAGTGAAGAGACTTTTATGAATCATTTTAGGATTCCATTCAGTAAGAAGATCTTTAATTACAATGAAAAGCTGTTTGGATGAACACTTCTAGCATATAAATCTCTCTACAAAATTTTCTTTTCATCAACTAGTGAGAACTACACTTGGAAAAATCTGTTTTAAATAATCTGTAGGGAGTATCTAGTGATCTTTTTAAAAGAAAATTTTTCAGCTGAAAATATTTGTAGAGTTCTCTAACTGACTGTTTTTTTTATCTTTACCATAATTTATTTCATATTAAGTTCTCAGTGATTCATCTCTCATTATAAACTTCTAAGTATGAGGTCAAAGTAGAGTGTATTGACTGCTTGGGGCAAATAGAGGAGCAGCATTGATGGGTTGTGGAGAGGAAGCCATTTTCTTCTGGGAAAATTGGTAAAAATAGCATATGGGAAACAAAACTTGAGGTCAACATGTAATTACTGAAGCACCAGTCAATTTACAGCAAACTTACAGCCTAAGAGCTCTGACATAGTGGTGTGAACTCTTTATAATAGTAGAAAATGGGATTAATGTGCTTGGTGTGCAGTTTTCCAGGTATTTGGAATATATAGCATGTTACAGTAATATCCCTCTCTTTAAATGATAGTTTAGAAGAGATGCTTTAGGGGCTATTGTAAAATACATATTTTGTCTTTTTGTGAAGCTTGCCTTGAATCCTTTTCTGGGCAGAACAGTTCTGTTTTTTCCCTTAATCTAGTTCATTTATTGGAAATGTCACTTTGGTTTATATGTCCTTAAATCATTACTCAGTCCATTTGTTTGGTTTTAATGACTTTTTAGTAATCCAAACAAGCGCTGTACATTTACTATATTAGATTATAAGTCCAACTCACTACGCCCCCGTTTTAAAAGCGTGTTTAAAGTTCACGGAGTTTTCTGACTATTCCCACAGGATTATGCTCAGAAGCTGAACCCATAACCGATGTGTCACACAGTGAACCCGTTCAGGAAAGCCCTTTCCGTCCCCCTTGCCATTCTTTTTCCACCGTCTTCGACGAGGACAAGCCCATAGCCAGCAGCGGGACTTACAACTTGGACTTTGATAACATCGAGTTGGTCGATTCTCTCCATGCCTTAGGACCCAGCTCTGCAGAGCCCAAGAGCCGCGACCCCAAAGCAAATGTGCGACGAAAATCTACTGATTCGGTCCCAGTTTCCAAATCCACGCTGTCTCGATCCCTCAGCTTGCAAGCCAGTGATTTTGATGGAGCGTCTTACCTCGGCAACAGCGAGACGCTAGCGCCGTCAGCAGATGTGTACGGTACCGGTTCAAGCAGTGCTTCCAGTACCCTTAAGAGAACAAAAAAACCCAGACCAGCTTCCTTAAAAAAGAAGCAGCCAGCCAAAAAACCTCTGGATGCTCCACTGGTGAAGGAAACACCACAAGAACCTTCTGAGCTCGGCCAAGCAGCTTGTGCCCCGGGTGAGGAGAGAGGAGCATCTGAGGGCAAGGCTGAGCCGGTGAAGCCCGAATGTACCGAACCTTCCAAAATCTCTGCTGAGAGAGAGGAGGCCCCACCTGTGCCTGAAGGATCTGACTCCTCTTTGGATCCTGACCGTTTTGAAGGGATTAGTGCATTTAGCAGTGGAGGCAGCAAAGTGCAGAACTCCCCCCCTGCCAGCAAGAAAACGCTACCTCTTACAACGGCACCGGAGGTTGGGGAGGTGACTCCGCCGGACACGGGGGGACAGGAGGACCCTCCGGTCAAAGGCGTTGCAGTGAGGCTGGAGTTCGACTATTCTGAAGAGAAGGGGGTGAGCGAAGACCAGCAGGAGAGCCCCGCCCCTCCCAAAAAAGCGGGTAAAAAGCCAGGTGCTAAAATGCCGCTGCGGAGGCCAAAGACTAAAAAACCGGTGGAGAAGCTGGACAATGCTCCCACCACTCCGACCAAGTCCCCCACTGATCCAAACGAAATCCCCATCACGAAAGGCTCTTACACTTTTGACATTGACAAGTGGGACGATCCCAATTTTAACCCCTTCTCATCTAGTACAAAAATGCAAGAGTCGCCCAAACTGCCTCAGCAAACGTACAGTTTTGAGCCAGACATGTGTGAGGACTCCATCGACCCTTTCAAGTCTTCTCCTAAGATAGCCAGCTCGCCCTCCAAATCTCCGGCTTCCTTTGAGATACCAGCCAGTGCCAACGAAACAAACGGGACAGAAGGAGACAGCCTGAACAAACCTGCGAAAAAGAAGAAGACGCCACTGAAAACGTAAGTTAAAGGGCAGAGATGTTTCTAGAACAGAGGCAGCACATTCCCACCCCTTAGCACGTGGTTCGTCTTTGGAGAGCTGAGTGTTGGTAGCCACAGCTGGGGGCTGTACCTGCCTGCTCTCCCTCGACCTGTTGTGTCAATAGTTTGATGCTTCCAAAGTTTTTTTGAACCTGATTAAGTTGTAATTTTATCAGTTTCGTACCAAATTTTCTGTGACCTCATCTTGGGAACGTGATGCTGTTTAAGTTGATCGAAGTTTCACACCAGTGAAGACTGTTCTATGAATAATTGGGTTTGAGAATGGGATGTGAAATAATACGACAGTGGCAAATTTCATATTGCGCATATTGAGGTTTACCTGAAATTTAGCGGTAATTTAGGTGGGAATTAAGATCCATGCTAAGCTAGCTTGTTTTCCAACTCTGTAGTCAAAACTGATTTGGTCCAAATCAAGAAGACTTCAAAGACTGACAGCAAAAGGAGAACTATTTGATTTGTACTGGAGAAATGCAGAGGGAAGGAGGGGAATTTTGATATCAACAGATCCTTAAGTTTGATACTTGCAGCCAGACAGAGTCTTCTTGTGTCTTTCAGTAGCTGGAGCTGATAGACCCCAAGCGTGGGCCTCTTGAGTTCACCCATCTGCTTCGAATATTAGAATGAATTCCAATGTTAATTTAGGGGCAAAATGAGTTTACAGAGAGTTTTCCAAACCACATTCATCCTTGGGAAAATCCATCATGAGAATGCCCTGTCCTACAGTCACAAAAGTTCACTGCTGGTCTTTATCATGGTGGAGAAGCTTCCCCAGCACAGGGCTCACAAGTTCAGGAGGGCTGCAGGAATTCCCAGCCCTTGCTTGTCCCTGTGTTGTGTCTCTGCTCACTGCAGCCCCGTAACCTACTTTTGCAAGTGTTTTTCTTTTTTTTTTTTTTTTTTACAAAGAAGAGACTCTGCATATTAATAGTGCAGCCTGCAGCTATGGTGCTTTCTAGAAGAAAATGAGCCTAAAGCTGCTTGGGGGATGCCAGCAAAAGCAGTGGCTTTGTTTGCCTCTGCCCCTCTGGTCCCTCTTCTCCATGAAAAAGCCCTCAGCATGAGTCTTCCTTGGCATCCAGTGCAAGAGAAGCTCTGGCTGGGTAGGGAGATGGGATGTAGGATCCTCCTTGGCAATAGTCCATGGTGGGACAGGGAGAGAAAAGAATGCAAAATGTTTCAGCTCCAAGGGGCACAAATGAGGGGGTTTGAATTAGGAAATGATACTTTGGTATTCCTGGACTTCTAACACCTAATTAATAGGTGATTTTGCCGAGTCACAGGTTTTCATTAGCACTGTTGAAAGGTGCAGAAATCAAATCCTATTGGGCAGTTTGAAAATGTGTTCCTTGTGTGAAAGGTGATTCCTAGATTAGACCTCTGAGAGGTAGAGCCAGGCATGAGTTTCAGTTCTTGCTAAGCTTGTACTACTTTGAATCTGAACCATGTGCTCAGTCTTACCCACATTAAATCAATAAAAACAACCCATTTTTATTCTTGAGTGAAACCTGCAGCAGTCTAAGCATTGACCCCCGTGTGAAATACTGAGGTTTTTAGGAGAGATGTCAGCTCAACCCAAATTGCTCTCTGGCCATCTACCCAAGTGCTGAGCTGCTCTGAGATAATCACATTGCTCAGGTGATGCTGAGCAAAGAGCAGCTGATGCCTCCCCAGTGCCAGCTGATAGTGATGAGTAAGAGGAAGTGTTTTGCCCAGGCATGGCTTGTGTGGGCATTGCTCTGGGAGCTGCTGGAGGGTTGGAGGCTGTTTAGAAATGGAAGGTGCCGACTGTCACATGAGAAGAGACAAGCAGGAGCTGCCAAACTTATAAGCAGATGAAGACTTTTCTCAGCCTAAACTGTTTGGCAAGGTTGGGTTCTGGTTTGGGGGAAATGGGTTGGTTGTGTCAGATCACCAAGTTAGGTTTCCTGCAGAGGCAAAATAGATGAGATTTAAAGAAATGTCATTTTCTCTCCTGACCTGGGTAAATGATTTGAAATGGTCAAGGAGCTCTTGTGCTGTCGTAACACATCAGCAAACGTGAACAAAACCTGGAATGGCTCTTTCCTTAAGCTTAGCTGCCATTCAAGAACAGTTTTACATCTCCTGTAATAACAAACACCATGCTTTGAAGAGCAAGCAGGTGGCCTCCTTCAGGGAAGGCAAGGTTAGTGTGTTGAGAGGAACTTAACTTGAAGGTGTCAGCTTTGAAAAATGTGTTTGGTAAGGTGAAAGCGTGTCAAAAGTATAACATTGAACTTGAAAACACTGAAGGACTTGACGAGTATTTTATTTTTCTCCTGATGTATTTCACAATAAGAAGTAAGGGTTAAGATTATACAGGTAGAAAATATGCATGATCAGACTGCCTTAACACATTAACATTAACAGAGTATTTGTAGGTTAATCTTTTTTGTCAGTTCCTTCTGTCTGTCTCTCTTTTCTTTGTCTTATTTGTCTTAGGATGGTAGAAGATGTGATGTCTGTATGTTCTCTGTTGTAAGTAATTCTAAGCTAACATTTCAAATTTCCTCTTTTGATTTATGGGCTTTTTAATTTTACTTATTTATTTTACAGCATGATCAGTTATTATTCAGCATGAAGCTTTTATGTTAACGATTTCACTTCCCTGGTACACGTGAGAGCTATTTTAAGTGAGATGCCTGGCTGTGAATGAGTTTAAGGAATCTATTGCCTCACTATGTGTTTGCCTATCAAAGATCCTCATTTAAAAATGCAGAGATTCTGTATCTTTGAGCTAAAATATGAAAATTTTATTTGTGACATTGAACAACGTTGTACAATCAGTCCTTTGTAAATACTGCATAAACTGCTTCTCCTTCTTAAAGGAAGAAGTTCTCCTAATTACTTCTAGGATCATATCTGGATAATTAGTGGCACTGAACACACCAATATTCAGCTGTCCAATTTATTTTCCCCTCTAGATGTGGTATTGATTTACCCTTTACTGATTGAAACCCACCATTACAATTTCTGGTGTCGGTCTGGCCAGCATTGATCAGGGATGAGCTGATGGGCAGCAACTTTTGCCACTGCATCTCAGTTCAAATACAAAGTCTTTATCAGTGAGTTTGCTGTGGTGTTTTTCTCCCTCTTCTAGTTAGTAACATGAATGTTTTTTTTAATAACTCTGGCAGTATGCATCAAGAGAGCAGGTAGATAATTGGTTTATTCCTAGTTAGAAAATATTTTTTTAACCAATTGTAAATAAACACAAAGGCAACGTCTGTAAATATACACCCTGATGACGGAATTTATGTTCTTCTTTCCTTTTGCCTGATTGAAACCTGTGGGATATTGAAGGGTTACAGTGTCCATGCTCTCAGTCTGCACTGGGAGCTGTCAGGGGAACTGGAAGCAGAATTGCCATATTTCTTGTTGGATTTGTTTAAAAAAGGGTCTGTTGTGCCCATTTTGTAATGACAGAGCTTTGTTCTGGCATCTTGGGAGCAGCATCTGCCTCAGATGGCTTTGTGTAGTTCATCCAAAGCGTAACAGTTTCTTTCTTAATGATTTTTGGGGTCACTGGAACTTACTGCCCAAATTTATCACAGTTTTGACTCTCAGGTAAAGATGTGGGTTAGACCTAATTTTCACTTGGGAGACAGAAGCTAAATAATTTCCTTGAGGCCACTGAGGGTGCCTGTGATGGAGCAGGGATTTGAATTGTGACTGAGCAGTAACCCTGTTCTGTAAAAGTGTCGGTAGTTAGCATGAAAAATATGGCAGTCCTGCTGTTCTCAGCTTTTGGGAATCGAGGCCTGTTCCAAGTGCATGACAAGAATCTGTACCCATGGCATGTTTCTCTGTGGTGCTGCTGCCTAGTGGATGGGATTTTAATGCAGAAGGGCTTACAGAGGTTGCACTGTCTGTGGCTGTCTCTTGCTAAGTATGAAATGACCTGTTTCTTGCTGGTATTACCATATTAACTGTGTTAACTTCATTTTCAGTGATACATTTAGGGTGAAAAAGTCACCAAAAAGATCCCCACTATCAGATCCTCCTTCTCAGGTAAAGTGCTGCCTTATTCTGGTGCATGTAATTTGTGTTCTTGATGGGGCAAATTTGATTTATTTAGTTGTAGAATTGTACATTTAATAACAAAGGAGATTTTTGTAGAGCATATATGCATATTGGGTCCCAAGTATAGCACACTGGGCCATAGCCACAAGGTATTAACCTTTTGGTCTCTAGAAGTGTGTATACAACATACACCAGGTCTGGTGTTTGCTCTGGGAATTCCAGTCAGAGTATTAATAAATGTAATTTAGAAAGTCTTGTCTTATGATGGAGCAAGAATATGAATAAATACCTTCAGTCAGTTGTCTGAAAAACCAGGCATCGCTATCCACCCTGGAATTTTTAGATTAGAATGCAAGAAACTAAATGCATCAAATTGATGGGCTGGAAGGGAAATGGAAATAAACCAAGTGGGCTGATCTACCAGGAACATGTGCTTGGATGGTTTGATTCCACGTTGTAAACTGCTGGCAGGTGGTTTCCTTGGAAGAGGAGTTAACAAAAGCTGTTCTACCTACAAAGGCCGTACTGCTTTGATGTGGCACAGCTCCTTCCACGCTGCTGTTCCTCTTCCTGTTATCCCTCCTGCCCTTTTTATTTGTGCTGCTTGACAGTGTAGAAAGTGAAGAAAGGGGAAAGGGTTCGTGACCCCGCAGTCCTGGGAAGGTTTGCTCCTGTGGGGGAAGCCTAAAAAGTCAGAGACTTCAGTCAAGGGTGACGTGTGCCACTTGTGTCAAGTGCCTAACAGATTTAAAGAGCTCTGGATTTTCTTTCTTCCCCGTTATCAAAGCAGCTTTGCAATGCAAGTGTTTATCATCAAAGAGTTTAGTTGTACTGGGAAAACTTGCTGCTGGTAGAGTTAGTATTTTTTGCTAAGTATTTTATACAGAGGCAGCAGCCAAGATTACGGAATTAAAAAGATGGCTCTGGTGGTGCAGAGGAATTCAGAGGTTTAGCTGTTCAATGTGCTAAGCAAAGATTAGAGAATTAATTGGCGCTGGTTTTCTGCAGGATCCCACTCCACTGCCAACTCCAGAAAGTCCTCCCGTCATCTCCACGGTGGTTCACGCGACGGATGAGGAGAAACTGGCATCTTCAGTGACGGGCCAGAAATGGACCTGCATGACTGTGGACCTGAACACGGATAAACAGGATTACCCACAACCCTCTGACCTGTCCACCTTTGTCAATGAGACCAAGTTCAGCTCTCCTACAGAGGGTACGTGTTCCAAAGGACTGTCTGCTCCAGCCAGTGTGATACTTACTGAGAGAGGGGTTTACTTTGCTGAATGAAAACTATTATTTAGGAACCCTAATGCTCTCTGGACCATTTAGGGGAATGTGGCAGTTATGGGGAGCTGAATTGAAGACCCCAATAGTCTGACCTTCGGTTTTCAAGAAAAGGAAAAGGATCTGCTTAAAGGACAATGAAAGGGACCTTCAGAGAGAGGTTTTTGCTTCCTCAGTGTGATTAACTGTAGATGAGCTCTGCTCTTCTGTGTGTGTGACCTGTTCTCTTGGTGCCTGCACAGGAGATTGGGGGCTGAGACTGCTCTCAGGGTCTCTTGAATCTCTTGGGTCCAGAGTCATTGAACTACTGATTCTGCCTGAGCCTCTTCCTCTAACCTGAATGGGAGAAGGTCCCAGGTTAAAATTCTGCTCAAATTTTGTGCATTGCATTAAGACCCTTAACATGCCACCTCTCCTCCAGCTTCCTGGGATCCAGGTATCTTTATGCATTAAAATGTCCAGGATATCCCCGTGCAAGATAGTTATCTTTGATGTGCCAGATAAAATTCACCAACTGGATCAGCCTGTTAATGTTTCTGCTCTTATCCTTTCCAACAAGCAGTTGTGAGCTAAAGCTGGAAGTTTCTGTTTAGAGAACTGTCATTCCAAGTCTGTGAAATGTGGAAGAGACAGAATTAAGGAAGTTTGTGTGTGGCCTTCCTTGGAGTTAGCAGAGGGAATACTGCTTTGCAACAGCTGCTCCAAAGGCAGGTTTTCAACTTTGTGGGTGGGAAGAATGTTTGAGTTTAACTTGGCCCAAACTTCTTCTTCTTGATCAGAATTCATTTTTTCTCCCCAACCTTTCAGTCTGTGTCCCAGCCTACCATTAAAGCTACTTTATGCTGTTTTGAACTGGGTCTGAGTTTTTGCCTAATTAAGAATTGATAAGCTTTTAGGTCAAAGCATTTGACATCAAAAGGCAGAAATAATCACAGTGCTTTTAATGGTTCATATGCACGTGCTTCTGTGTTTGTGTGCCCTGGGCTTTTTGGAAATCTGTTGGGTCTCCTGGACAGATAAGTATTTCAGTCTGGATAAATCCATTTGACTTGGTTGTCAAATTATAAATTTTAGACATCATCTCCAGTTTATTTGGATTTTAAAAAATAAATGCTGTTCAGAAATAAGCCCCATAAATCCAGGGAAATGGAAACTATATGGCAGGAAATGGAACAAAAGAATAGTGAGAGATACTCAAAGGCAATCATTTTAGCTTTCAGAGTGGGTAGAAGAAAGTGAGCAAATCTCCTAATTAAATGCTAATTGTCTTGTCTCATGTGTGCTGCATGGTATAGTCGGAGTTTCAGATTACACGCTCGTTATAATCAACAATGCTGCTGCTTTTCAGATCTTTGAAAAATAATAATTTTTTTCCCCTTGACAGTCTTGCTAATGCAGGGTTGAGCAATTTTTGAGGAATTTGAGGGCTGTTTCTCACTGGGAATGTTTTTACCCCTCCCAGACACCAGTATGAGTGTTACCCTGTAACCTAACACGGCTTTTGTACAGATACAACCCAACTCCTGAGCCAGCCAGTGCATCCAGCTCTCATCTCTTTCATGAGCTGCTCATAACTGCTGCCATTTTCCTGTTGCACAGACCAGAAATGAGGCATAATTATTAGCAGAAAATTCTGATATAATCCTGAAGCTATTTGTAGGAGGAGTTGGAGGACACCATTTAGTAAGTCTGTTGTACATATTTATAGAAGATAATTACAGATAATTATAGATAATTATCTTGCTTTATGGGATATCCTGGGCATTTGTGATTTTGAATGTATAGAGATAACCAGAGCCTAAGATTTTGGAGGGGGGATGATGCCTTAGAGAAGATACTTAGGAAAGGAGAGAGAGCAATTATGCCAGAAACTTCTCGGAGCAACGAGACGGAACAAACTGCGTTTAGCCAGCCATGTTATTCCTTTTGTTTCTAGTTGATCTGCTTCTATCTGTGTCCTGCTTTTTTTTTTTTTTTTTTTTTTAAACAGTAAAGGTAAATAAGTGTTGTCCCAGCAGTCAGTTTGGGATTGCACAGCTGCTGCCAGTGCTGCAGGCAGGTGGAGGATCTCTGGTGGCTGTGCCAGCAGAGGACAGTGCTGGAACGTGTCCTGCCCGGGAGCCTGCTCGGATGCTCCCTCAGGGATTGCTCTCTGGGGGTGTAAAACTGCTCCACAAAACGTTCCTGCTGCACCTCACCAAGCTGTGGGTAGATAAATGATGTACAGACAGGCAGTTTCTAAGCACTGGCTGCTGTTCCCTGGGATTTCAGGTTTTCTGCAGCTCCCTGTCTGGGTGGGGGTTTCAATCCCATGGGTTCAGTTCTGGTTTTGCTTTCACTGGGAAGAAAAGGGAGTGAGAAACGATGCTCCTGGTATCTGGTACCAGGAAGTTGTCCATCTTGCCTGCTACCACTAAAAACATAATGTGCTAGGAATTTAAACATGAGGGGCCTGCTCTTACAGTTTTCTCTTCACTTACAAGTTTTACTGTTCATCTCCCCCACATGTCAGGTGCTGAGAGTTTGTGGCTGTTCCTCTTCAGTGGTTGTTTGACAAAAATACATGATTTGTGGAATCACAGTCCCTGTGCTCTACAGTGCTTTTTATTATAAAAACAAATTTGAGTATTTTAAACTCACATTGCACCTTTTGAAAGCTTTTTTTTTTTTAACAAAACTGACAAGAGATTATCTTTAGAGTTGGTTTGTTTTTAAATATCAAACATTTTAATGGTGGTTATTATCTCCCTAATGCAAGCCCTACTTTTCAAAAGCTGCCCAAATCTAGAAGGATTTAACACGTGATTTTATCATAATGTAAATGCTACTGTGGCATTCCTTAGAATTTATTTATAATGGAAATTAAATGATGCAAGTGGTTTATTGCATTAACTCATGGAAATGGAATAAAGGACAGCATTAGGACAAATTAATTATGTCTTTAATTCTTAAATTAAGTTGTCATTGAACAAAGTCTTTGCTTTTGTTTGGGTGCAGGAAGGTATGTTCTCTTTTCTCTTTTCCTGTGTTAGATCTGCCTGCTTCTGTTTCAGCTACTGCGTGACCATGGAGTGAAAGAAATGCTGGTTATTCCCTCCAGGATAATTGGCAGATTAGAAGTAGAGAAGCATTTGAGATTTGCATTTTTATTAGATTGTAGATTTAGAGTTCTTTGTAAATCTTCCTGCCTTAGATTCCCTTTTTCTCTGAAATTAAAGTGTGAAAAAAGCCCAGTAAGCCAGGCTGGTGTCTCATCCCGGTCAATGAGTATTCAAGGTTACTTTAGGTATGTTTTTCTTGAGTGATAACACAGTAGTTATTCTTAATTAAGAATTGTGTGATAAACATTAGGATATGGAAATTAATTCATTTCTCAACAGCTGTTGAAACATTTTTTTCTAAAGGAAACTGGTATCAGCAGTGTCAATTATTGAAAAGTGTGTTTTCTGTGATGAGACAACATGATAGAGGAAAGTTGTCTGTGCTCTGAAATTGCACTGAAACTTCCTTAATATCCTGGCCCCTGGGGCAAATAGATAAAGCTGAAATTTTTTTCAGGCAAGCTGATTTGCCTGAAATGTGTCCTATGTTCACTGTTGAAAATCAGTGAATATCAGTGCACCTTCCACACTTTCTTTCTGTATATTCTACTTTTAATATGTTACAGGAAAGGATTGAGGAGGGTGGGAGTGGCCCTTGTAAATGAGATCTCATTTATTTCTGCAACAATCTTGCCATGGTCTGTGTTTAACACCTCTTTTTCTTGTTTCTGTTGCAGAATTGGAATATGGCAACTCATATGAAATAGAATATATGGAGAAAATAGGCTCCTCTGTGCCTGTAAGTTCTCATTTGCATTCCCTTGTCATAATATACTATCCTGATAATGCCATCAGCCTCACTACCCCTTGAATTAATTATAATGTGCCTGCAGCAGATTTGCAAAACCAGTTCCTTTAAATTGGCATAACTGGAGTAAATTGCATGTGCTTTGTTGTCCTGCAAAGCTTGTTCCATTTTATTGTTTAATTCTTAGGCTGGCATCATAGTAGTTCTTTCTGCAGATTAAAAGCACATCACTATTTCCAGCAGTGCAGAGCACAGAGCTGTCTACACCAGCTATTTTAAGCAACTGGGAGTAAAACTTTAAAGAAGCTGGAGGGAATCAGGAGAGAATACAGAATTACTGTGAAGTATGGAATGCAGTACTATATATCACCAGTTGTTTTGCCTTGCTTCTTTGTAATCCATGGGGTTGATAGCTGGACTGGGTCCCATGAGGGCATATCCAGTGGGGTAGTTAGAAAAATCAGGCATGTATGTCAGGTGCTTAAACCAATGAGAATTTTCAATGAATATTTCAGTAACACTCTCAGCCAGGGGATGCCTCCTGCCTGACAGGACTAGAAATCTGATTAACCCCAAAGTGGGAGAAGAGGAGGCATTACAAAGAGAGAGCTGTTCAGCTCACTCTGTGTAACGGCTCTTTGTTCTTTTAATGGTTTCTTCCTGAAAGGGATCATCTCAGTATCAGCACTACAGTCCTATGTTATTAGTTTTCTGTCAAGTCATTTGGTCATTTAAGGTTTCAGTGACCTGAATTAGCTTTAATGGGGAACGGTTGAGTTGCTTAATGAGTTTTCTCTTTTGCTGCTGCCAGCAGGATGACAGTACCCCGAAGAAACAATCTTTATACCTAATGTTTGATGCACAGCAGGAGAGCCCAGTCAAATCACCTCCCCTCAGACTGTCTGATTCCACAACTCCGTGCTCAGGGTAGGTGACTGTGGGAGCAAAGTCAGCGGTGGGAAAGGGGGTCAGGCAAGTGGGTTGCCATCAGAGCACGTACACAGGCCGTTCTTCCTCTCCCCTCTGCCTCCGTGTTGCCAAGTTGTTTGTTTAAAAATAGATTCCCATCTGTGTACACATATGATAGAGGGCAAAGACACAGAAGTTTTCCAATGGGGAGGAATAAGGACGTGAATAAGGACGTACATTTCTCCTTCATATGTTACTAAATAAAGTCACAGTGGCAACTGTTTCACTGGACTTCTACTTACAGTGCCTTCCTACTTACAGTTTTTCTCAGATTCTGAGTTCATTTTCATATTAACCTAGAAATCTCCTAATTGCAGTTTTTTCACTTGGCTTTTCCTGGATACACTTTCTGAACAAGGACTCCCATTCACAAGAACAGGATGTGGGGGCTGTGTTTGCTTCCAGTAATTTTGCTTGTTGAGGACATCTTGTTCTTGTATATATATATATATATATATGTATATATGTATATACACACATATACATACACATGGAAGTGATGAAGGGGACTTGCTTAGCTGTTACCAGAAGCAGAATTGTAAAGGCCTTGTGCTCCACCCAGAAAACATGTGCCCAATCTTTTTCCAGGTCAAGTTTTGAAGACCCTGAAGCCCAGCAACCCTCTGGAATGAAAATCCAACACCCAGCTTCCCGAGTCCTTGCTGCCAGCCAAGAGGCTCACTTGCAGTCAGCTGACAAGTCCAAGCAGAAGGACCTAGAACCCATGACTCTGGGGCCAACTCCAGAGGCTATTGAAATAGTAAGTCATTTATGATAAGAGTTTGGGAATCATTTTCCTGCAGAGATTTCCCACATCATGTGAGAGGTAGCACAGGTGGATCTTGACTGTAGAGTGAAACTCAGCCTGACACTTAAAGATCTTGGTAGCAGCAAGGACCCAAATGAGGGAGGTGGGTTGATGGAACTGATGGAATTCAGAGGAATTTTTTAATTATTACCATACCTTAACACGTTTTTGTGGTAACTTATTCCAAGTTGATACTTTGAAGTGCCTTTTCTCTCACACAGGCCTTTTTACACTGTGCTTCAACACAATATTTGAAAAAAAATTTTATATATAAAATATGGGGGTTGATGTAAACACAGAGACATGGTTTGTTCCATTATGTGTACTGTGAAATTTCAACTTTTTTTGTTAAAGAACAGATGTCCTTTCATGTTTTCCTTGAAACTGTTAAGGATATTGTTTTCCCCTGATGCTGATAATACAAAATTCACTTTCTTGATCATTAGAACTCATTCCAGCTTCCAGTTAAGACACTTTTATTTCAGTGTCTTCCCTGGTTAGCATTTGAATCAGTGGTGAGCCCTTCCTTGCTTTCAACCTGTGCTGCATTATAGACTTAGGAGCATTGGTTCTCAGATTCATGAGGCCTCCACTTTTCCAGGTAAACTTGTTTCACAAATGCCAACAGGACTAGAAATGCTAAACTGTGTGACAGTACATTTACTGAGGAGTCAAAAAAAGCTACAGATCACTTTAATAGTAAATTTTAATTTATATTAATGTGGCTTTTGCTACCATCTCACAGAAGACTTTTTTGAGAGTTTGAATACTTTTCTCACCGCAGGAAGTCTTGAGAACTCAAATCCCAGTGGTCTTCTTTGTGTCATTCTAATTCTTCCACCCTGATATTGTGTCTTTGTCCTGGTAACGTTAAAATTGTGAACATAACTTAGTTTATCCCCAGCAAGCAGCAAAAGACTTTAAGACTTCAGAAAGAGTCTTGCTGAGGTTCCCCTCGGTTTTGGTGCCCCCCAAAGCTTTTGGAGTGCCTTAGAGGTGCCTGAACTGAATATAAACTATTGCATGAACAGAACCTGTAGTCACTGTTTGAAAACTACTGCAGAAGTGTCGAGGGTGGGCTGTCCATGGTTTGAGAGGCCCTGATGTTACTTGTTTTGTGTTAGTCTCGGAAAATTTACTCTGCTTTTAAATTAGGAATAATGGCTCTTGGTGTTTGTCTGTCACGCCTGTGAATTGTGTATTAGAACATGGTTTTCAGTAGGCACAAAATTACTAGAAATCAAAGATTTTTTTGATCTGAACTGCTTTGGCAGAATCTCTGTTGCTCATTCTATATCCTCCTTACCCTTCAGACATCTCCTGAAGACTCCTTTGTCTCTGCTGATGCTCTTCTCAATAGGATATCTAAGAAAACCTCAATATGTGATCAACCTGAATATCTAGATCCTGACTTAGCAGAAAAGAACCCCCCAGTATTTGCTCAGAAACTTCAGGTTTGTAGCAGAATTATAAATATCACTTTTCTTTATGTTTGTCTGTGCACAGGTAGAGCAATGCTTTGCCTCATCTGAAAGGGGTGGGGGGAGGCTTGGAAGGGAAGTGGAAAAGAATTAAAATAGTTATTTCCTTCTTTCCAAAGCAACTTTGGCCTTTCAAGAACTTAAGGAACAGAGATATTTTCATTTAACTGGATATAATACATAATAATACATGTATATAATACATAAACTTACATTTCTTCAACAACTATCCTGTACCTGTGTTTTGCAGAAATCTTTATAAGGCAAAATTTTTTAAGCTTGAACACAGGACTTGACAGATAGAGAGTTGACTTGATACCTGGCTTTAGGATATCTGTATGCACAGATTTATTTTTTTGAGATTTGGGACCTAATTCTGCTGAAGTGAAAATCAGGCTTTGTTTTTCTAATCATCTGTAATGCAGAATTTGGCACGGCTTCTTCTAGGAGAAGCAAGTTGATCTTCAGACCAGTTCTTGTATGTCAGGACAGGTTTTCTAGACAATTTTAGTGACATTTTAAAACAGCAAAGGTTGAACTGAGACCATCAGCTGGCATAAATTCGCATGAAATGGAAACCAAGGGAAAAATGTGAAAAAACAGCTTTAACTTCAGAAAACATTTACTTGATAAAAAGCATTGTTCATACTGATAACCTAATAAAAATTATTTCTCTATGCAGCTACCTCAAAACTAACCCACTCCTGGAGTTTTGTACTATCAGTGCAAGGAATTTGGGGTGTGGTTGTCACCCAGGAATTGCCGGGGATAAGCGCTAAAATACAACGCTCCATTTTTTTAATACGTTAAACATTTTTGCCTTGTCCTTAATCCGTTTTCTTTCCCGTGGGTTGCTCCCAACCAAACCCCCCCGCCAGGAGGAGTTAGAGTTTGCTGCAATGAGGATAGAAGCCCTGAAGTTAGCCAGGCAGATTGCCCTGTCTTCCTTCCGCTCCAAGGTACCTGGTTTGTGCCTGCCCTGCGTGTGTGAGTGTGCACAGACCGAGGATCCTGCTGCTGCTTCTCCTCTAACACTGGGGGGGAACTGAGGCTCCCCGGGGTGCAGTGCTGAGCTGGGCACACCTTGGTGTGGCACCCAAAGCATGCTGGCAGCAGTGCTGCCCACGGGAACGCTGGCACTGCCCTGCTCACACCCACATTAACAACAGACCTGCCCTGCAGGCAGGGAGGAGTCGCGGTCCTCGAGCACGATCCTGCCATCCAGGTGGCAGTTCTGGAATCCATTTGTCCTTTCCCTACAGCAAGATTTGGCCTCAAATATTTAATGTCTCTGTAGGGACATTTTGTCTTTTGCTGGTATTATCAGTTTGAATTCAGGCACCTTTGGCCCTCGGAAGTTTAGAAGTGAGAAATTCAGTTGACCTTGCCCTCAGGCATCCGAAGAAAGGGACTGCAGCAGGGTTAGAAGAGTTCCCAAGGAAAAAAACCTCTCAGCACAATGTGGCTTTATGTCTTTATACATAAAGATCTAAGTCTTTTTTTTTTTTTTTTTTTTTAACTGTTACTTCCAGGACATCCTGGCTAGTTCTGCCTCAGAGTGAGGCTTTGCACTGCTCCAGGGATGCTCGTGGAACTCACTGTGTTTGGAAGGGGCTGGGCAAGTTCTCTCTGATGTGCTGAGTTTGGTGCTCAGCCAGGTGCACAGCCCGTTTATGATGCCCTTCATGTTACTTTTAACCAAAGGGTCAGTCCAGAAGTGTTAGTGGGTTTCTTGAGAAGTGGTATCAGCAGGATGGGGTGCTGAGGGCATGGCAGTGTCCTGCTGCAGTGGGACATTTTATTCCAAATGTGCTTCTGATGTGGCCTTCTCCAGTGACCTTCCTCTTCTTATGCTTGTCTGTTAATAAGTCAGTTGAAAGGGGTTTTTTCCCCAGATCTAAATTGTCTGGAGTTTATTGCATCATAACTACATTTGAACTGGTTATAGGATGGAATTTCTTGGTACCTTGAAGATCAGTGATTAAATAGATAGTTCATGAAAGTAAAGATATTTTTTTTAAGGTTAACTGTTCTTTTATGAAAAGATAATTATTACATTGGATTTATTTCACTTACCTTAAATAACCCACCAACCAGCTGTTTCCATGGTGCACATAGAATTGATGAAGTAAATGCATTGCTCCAAGGTTGAGGGGTATTTTAAAGTATGTGGCTATAATCTTTTATTTAATGAAGAAAGACATGCTGTTGTCTTCACTGGAAAGAGTAACCAAGCTTAAACTTCTAATAAGGAACATAAATAATAAAGGAGGGGAGGAAAAAATCAGCATTTTCTGTGTGAATGGCAACCTGTATGTGTGAGGGTGTCCCCTGGCTCTGCTGCCCTGAGTGGCAGGTGTTGGAAGGGAATGAGGTGGGATCCTCTCTGGATCCTCCCTGCCTCCTTATTCCCTCTCAGCCTCCTTGTCCTCCCAGGAACAGGTGGCATCCAGGCTCTCCATCACCAGGAAACACTCGAGATGAAACACACAATAAATATGTAGATGCTCTTCATGGGTTATACAAAAAACTTCTGTGAAAAATCTGCATCTTTGCTGCCAGCCAACAATTCAGAAACTCACAAACTGTACTCTTTTAAGACTGAAGAGAATGGGTTTGTGTGTTTGTGAGCACTTGTGTGTTACTCAGGGAAGATTCTGAGCTGCAGAAATGTGATAGGATGTATTTGATCATATGGTCTTACATTTTAAAGATACTTTTAAACATCATTGCCTCTTACCCAGAATAAGTTTATGAACTCCTTAGAACTTAGACATCTGGAATGGATTTCATGTGATTTTTTTTTTATTAAGGGCCAATAATCTGTGTAATAAAGATAGCAAAAATGATAAGCAGAGACATGCAGAGAAAAATAGGCAAACCTCCCACCTCTGACAGAGAATCAGCAGCAGTCTGATGTTCAAAAGGCTCCACGTTGGTCCAGTCTCAGGAATGTTTGTACACAAACACCCTGGGTGTCATGTTAGTCTGGGAAAGACTTTTGTCCCTGTGTAACTTTGCTGTTCCAGTGGGAGATTGGTCATTTTAAATCAGCCTAGGAAGGCATCCCTTGTGACCTGCAGTGACTGATGGCCTGCATTAAGTAGAGCAGAATCCATCAGATGATTGCACTGACTTAAATTTGGATGCTAACTGGCAGAATTCCCTTCTGGATGTCTGGCCTCCATTCTTCTCTTGATGTTGTACAATTACATTTAACATTTGCTAAACCTTGCAAGGGTGGGTAACAAGAAGAGGTTGGTAAATAAAGACAGAAGTACTTGTTATGGCTAATTAGGTCACCCAAAATAAAGATTAAATATCACCATTTTGTGCTAGCACTAGGAGTGAGAATGAGGACGTGCAGTTTCTTTTTCTCAGGCAGAGGGAAGCTATTTGGCTGCTCCCAAATTTCTTGTCACAGACATCAACAATAGGACTGCTTTTACACTTCTGTCTCCCAGCGCTGAGATGAATGAACTCTTCCCTACTGAGCAGTCTCAATTTGGATGTCCTGTGGGCATTTTTTTTAATAGGTGCAGCTTGAATAGGTTTTGTGTCCACCACCCTGGGGATGCTGAGATGATGAGAGCTGGGTGTTGAAATAGGATCCAAAGAAACTGAAAGGAAAGGCACCAGCACAAGTGGGATTGAGGCACCACGGCTTTGGGGGGCTCTTGTGGTAGTGCAGGAGGAATGTTTCCTTCAAACAGGAATACCTCACTTTCCAGTAAAACTTCACAAGCTGAAAACTCATGTTGGGATTTTACTTTTGCCTTTCCATATATTTGCAAGCACAAGCAGGTGTTGCTTTGCCTCCACTGACCTGTCTGCACACGCATCAATAAGTTAAAGGGTCGATCACTCGATACACACCCGAGCTGTGTTTCAGGGCTTGGAGAGGGCAAGCTCATTTTTGGCAGGGCTAAATACATATTCCTCCAGTATGAAAAAAACCAGTTTTCATTTGCATTCCATTTCTCTTTTTTCTCTTTGACCTCCTAGAAGAGTGAGATAAGTGCAGCTGGTTAATGGATGTGCATTTATTCCCTGTCTGGTCAGAGATCTGGTTTCTGTGAAAGGTGCTGGGGACAGGAGAAGAACCGTGTGGAGCTCTCAAATATTTACACTAAGATTGCAGTGACCTACATTTAGTAGTAATTCCCCTGAAGACTCTAATCTTTCTGTGCAAGGTTTAGTGACTTGCAAATCCCTACGCTGATTATTACCCCAATTAACTGCTTACCTTCTCAGCAATTAGGTGTTGAACTTAAAGCATTATTATTGGGTTATTTTTGGTAATACCATCATCCTTGTTGTCAGGTTGTAGTATTTTCTCAGGATAGGAATGTTTCAAGGCAGCAAATAACAGTTGCTGAGTTACACATCAGTTAGGAGCTGTGTAAAAATGGCTTTTGAAGGCAAACCATGAGGACTTTTACTGGTTACTCCTGACAGAGAGCCCAGTTGTGACTCTTGTGAAGTGTTTCCAGAGGGAGGCCAATGCTGATTGGACCACTACCACAAGCATTTCTGCTCAGTGGTTAAATTCCAAGAGTTTTTATAGTAATCTTTGAAAGCTTTGTGTTGCTTTGAGTGTCATTATTGCTATTGTTCTGCACAATTTACTCAAATGCAACTAGAGAAAACATAACTATATTAGTGAGGTGTTGAGCACTATATAAAAATAATTAAATATTAAATAAATATCAAAGAAATATTAAATGCTTTCAATTCTTTTTTCTTTAAAATTGTCATCATCCTGGCAGTTACTTTGACACGTTTTTACACAAGCTTGAGGAAATTTGTGTTCCTTTTGCCACAATTAATATTTTCCTGCAATCTCTTTAGGAGATCCAGCAAATTAAGCTGCAGGAGGCTTTTGAAATGTGATACATGCAGTTCAGCAGATCGATCTGAAGGGGGGCCTTTGTTTGGAGGACAGCTTTGATGATTTAATGACTCTTTTTTATCTCTCAGTTATTCTTGCCTCGTGTTTGAGGAGGGACTGAAGTACAATTTTTTTAGAAGTTGGAATATTGAGTTGAGGCAGCACTAGGTCGTTTTGTATTTATGCATTTACAGAGATGTCTGAGCTTGTGTCCCAGGTGTATTTTTTCCTACATAGTTGTTGTACACTGGGAAATACTTTCAAGGGCACAGGCTATGCAATTTTGATAGATCTTGGGGTGCTTTTTCCTCTGGTAGGAAAAATCCACTGGCTTTGAGGTTGCACCTCCTAATTATGCTGGAATAGATCATTACTGTGGGTGTTCATTTTAAATGTAGCAAAAAAGAGAAGGGATGGCCTCCTCCATAAATCCTAGAAGTAAGAGCCAGTTGACTCCTGTTTAAAAGTACAAAGCAAATTAGTGAGAGTCTCATATAAAAGAAGATTCAGTGTGGTGTTCTGTAAGTACTCTTGAGCTTATTCTTGCTCTAATTAAATTTTCTTGCCCAGTCTTGTAACATTACTGGTGTGGTTTCTTCACGTTGTCTACAGATGTGACATCCAGAACATCTGGTCCTGTGTTTCTGTTGAGTGAGCCTTGTATATAATTGCTGGTACAGCTTCTTCAGTCAGGTGTGATATGAGAACTCAGAAGGGATTGCAACAAAATCATCAGGGGGTTGAATCCTTTGTATGAGTCTAAGCTGGGCAGGAAGAACTGGGAGGAAGTCAATGTTTAATGGAATAGCATCTGGCAAAATTTCCTTTAATTGTGTTGGAACAAGGACATGTGATGTTGAAATTAATGAGGACTGAACCTTGATCCAGACATAACCTACTCACTTTCACATTCCTGCGCTTCAGGCAGTAGAGTATGACTCTGGCTATTTTACATTAAAAACAAACAAAACAACTGAAAACAAAACTACTACTACAACAACAAAAGAAACCCCAAACAAACAAACAAAAAACCCTAAATCATCCTCTTTTACAGTAAAAGAAAATAATTTTTTCCTCTCTTTTCTGTAAAAAATAATTTTAAAACTCTTGACTGCAGCAATGAACTTGAAGGAACAGAACATATTATTTTATGCACAAAGGTAACAAGTACACTGTAACAAGTACACTGGAAGAATACATAATTCCCTTTTCACCAGTAAGGAAGTGCTGCACCAGAAAAACTGGATGTGAATATCCATTTCCATCAGTGGATGGAAAAAGGCATTGATCCATTGAACCAGCTGGACCACAGTCCAGCCCTCTCTGTGGCTGCATGTGGACTTGGTGGTGGGCTTGACGGTGCCCAGAGAAGCTGTGGCTGCCCCATCCCTGGAAGTGTCCAAGGCCAGGTTGGACAAGGCTTGGAGCAACCTGGGCTAGTGGAAGGTGTCCCTGCCCATGGCAGGAGGTGGGAACGAGATGATCTTTAAGGTCTCTTCCAACCCCAAACCATTCTGGGATTCTGTGAATTATCTTTTATAACCTCCTCAGGTTTAATGTGCTGTAGCTTGGGTTGTTTGTATCTCGAGTTGTTTGAGAGACATCTCCTGCATCTCAGCGTCACAGACCTGTTCTTTGCTCTCCTCCTCACTTCACATGCTGCCTCCTCCTGTGTTAACCTGGGCTGCTGACACCAGCAACAATGAGCTGCAAAAAAAAGCCTCATATAACTTACTAATTGCATGCTAAACACTAGTGGGGTAACAACATTGCTTGTATATTCACACTTTTTATGTGATATTGTTTATGATAGATAAACTGTATTGGCACGTCAGACCTAGGAGAGTGAGCTGTCCTCTTACTTCTGGTTTCTTGATTTATTTTTATGGAAGGGGAATTCTCCTTAACAAGCTCTCTGCCTCCAATTCTAATTTCCTCTGCTGATGTGCATTTCTTGTGGATGTTCTGATGAAATTCTGCATCAGAGAGTAGTAAATTTTTCTAATATAATACTTTAAAATGTTGATGACGAAGTGCTGCTTTTATTTTCTCTCTGTAAGGTTAATACGACTCTCTTGGCACTTCCTATGGATCTTAAATGCTTATTTTACGATTGCTGAATTCAAAGTTCCTTGTCTGTGTTGCTGCTCTTACAATTTAGAGGTGCACAGAATCCTAGTCCCAGCCTCGCACTTACACCCAGAAAAATGTGAGCTAAACATTTATTTAATGGTTTGTTTCTTTGTATTTAAAAAAAAAAACAACAACCAAACACACAGAGAGAACCTGCTATCCCAGCAGATGTTTCCATCTCTAAAAGTGCACTCTACTCCCGGATCGGCTCCTCGGATGCAGAAAGCGCCGCCGCTCTTCTCTACCCCCAGCAGGACTTGGACTCGGCACTGCGGCTCGCCAGAGCAGAGGTGATTTTCCCCAGAATTTGTAGAAGGAAATACCTGCCCCTTGTGTTCTCCTCCTTTCCTGTTTTCTCCTGAATGATTTATTTTATGAGTGCTTCTTGCTACGCTGTGAGTTTTACTTGTTTCATGTAAGTGGAGAGCAGACGTTATGTGGAAATAAATCTTTATTTCTTTTAACCTCAGGTGTGCTCTGTGCATCTTGGCATTGCTGTATAATTACTAGAAAAATAGCAAGATGCTAGAAATAGGAATAACATTATGGGTTTTACAAACTCCACGTAGTATTAGTCTGGCTAATGATAACAATTAAAAGTGGGTGCAATCCAGTATTAGAGTATTCCAAACTTGTTGGTGAATTGTGTGAATGAAAAGTACACAAAAGAGCACAGTCCTTGGGGTATGAAAGGTCATGGGCAGCCCTAAAGATGCACACAGAAGCACAGAATCCCCTTAGAAGACAAACTGAGGGACCAAACCCATGCACAGAGCTATGTCAGGTTTGGCACCAGGTCAAAGCAGACACAGTGTAGGGTCATACATTATTCCTTGAAAAGTGTCCTTGTTGTAGTTTAGGAGCGAAAAATGAAACAAGAACATTGCAACTGCTTTTCTGAGTTCATGTTTCAAAACTGCAGTATGATTTCGCATCCAAACTTTTTTAATTGCACCTTGTAGTCTGAAAAACATCACTAGGGTTGCTTACATTTGAACCCATTGTCCACTCCAAAACTATACCCCTGTTAATCAGGATTTGATATTAAAACAAATATTGGACAGTTTGATTTCCTCGTTAATGAATCACATGGTTTTAATGATGAGGGGGGTTTTCCTTTTGTTTTCTTTGTTTCAGATTGTGGCCAAGGAAAGAGAAGTATCTGAGTGGAAAGAGAAATACGAAGAAAGCAGAAGGGAAGTGATGGAAATGAGGTGGGTTATTAACTTGTCCCTGGTTAATAAAATGAGATAGAAAGTCTCATTTCAGCCTGTGGTTGGTACACAGAGTACCATGGTCCCACAGCTGTTTTGGGTATCTGAATTTGTTTCATTATTTAACTGCAGGCTGTGGATTGATCCTAAACTGATACTTTGTATGGTGGGCACCCCTGTTCAGGGTAATCACTGAAAACTGACAGAAGGACCCTGAGCTTTTCAGTTTGTTGTGGTTGCATCTGTTCTATTCTGTTTCTCCTTGCAAACCTGCCCCTATTACATTAAATATCTGTATTCTGGAACATGTTTTGACCTTTCTTCCCAACCAGAGTCCTACCACTTGCAAAGATGACAGCAAAATCCCTGTAGTGGATCAGGTGAGCGGTGCTGCTCAGAGGGTCACTGATGTTGCTCATTTAGCCAGTTGAAAGGTCCAGCCTTTCTTTTTTTTACAGTTGGTAAGACCATAAGAAGGACCAACGAGCTTGGCCTGCTCATTGATCTGAATCTAAGTCATCAATTGCAAAAGAGAATGTATGAAAATACTTCATGGAGTCTTTAAAGCCTATTCTTTTCTGCCTTCAAAAACCAGACAAAAAATATCCCGCCTCGTAACTCATAAATAAAAGGGTACTCTCAGATTATTTTAGCATCTTTCTTTTAAGTAATAATTTTTTCAATCTCTTCAGAGACTGAATTTTCTTCAAAATCCCTTCTGTTCCAGCACCAGCTTCTTCCCAAAATGAAACCTCTCGGTGATATAAAGCTAAAGCCAACATGCTGTGTCTAGTGCTGACCTACATAAGCACTTGCTGCTTGTATCCAGGAAAACTGTGCTTAGGGAGTGAGAGTAGAAGGGAACTGCAGTGCAGTTAGCACGAGAGCCAGGAGTCACACATGGCAGATTGGAACTGTGGCAGCACGAGGCTCTGAGCCAAAGCATCTTAAGAGGAGCATCTGCAAAAGGCAAGGGCAGCCCCTTTATTTCTTTTTTTTTTCACCATCTCCCAGTGCCCAGCTGAGTTCTCTCACCCTCTCCCACCTCTCTGCTGAGAGAGGGAAACAAAACCCTGGCATAGCCCTCAAGGGCTTAATGAGGAGAAGGAGAAAGGAGCGGCTGCAAGCAGTCAAACCAAGGGAGCAGAGCAAGGAATGAACAAAATGAGGAGTTGTAAAGAATGTCTCAGCATGCAGCACACGCTCAAGTGTGTGTTTGGTCTGCTCTCTAGAAGCTGCTGGGCTGCACGTGTCTGCTGGGCGCTGCCAGAGGCTGCTTATTCCCTCATGGAAGGAGGGCGGAGCAGGGGGTGACACAGAGCAGCTGGCATTCCATAGGTTCTGTCCTCTTATATTCCTCACAGCAACGTGCTTGTGTGTCTCTGCACCCTCAATAAAATCTGATTTGAAAAAAAGCCATTATCTGAGCCAAAATTCTCACAGGCACATGCCTGGAACACATGGATGGGAAAAAAAAAAACCCTGGCTGATATTGTCACCACATGATGAACACGCATATGTGCACAGAGAAAGGTTTCTCTTGGAGGATTGAGTGTTGAAATAGCCCATGTGTGGTAAATTAGACATGCAGCAAGTGACATAATGATAAGCAAGGAGTAGAGGGATTATCTTGAGTTGCAAGCACAAAAGCATCACTTTCTACAGAAGGAGAAGCAATGCTCTTCTACCCATGTAGAGGCTACTCTAGCTGGAATATGCTGACTTCCTCTAATTTTCCAGGAAAACATCAGTCTGGAGAAAATTCCTCTCCAGAGAACAGAAGCCAAAATGGGTTTAATAATGCAAGAACTATCAAAGAGCTAAACCAGGATGGGCTGCACCACAATCCAAGAGGCAGGCAAGAAATATTTGTGGTGCCTCAGTAAGGGGAGTCAAGCAGACGACCCCTGAGATCCTTTGTAGCCCTGGATTTTGGTGGCTTTATGACTTAATGAAATTTCAGGAAGTCAATAAATGAATGACTGACTGAATGTCTAAAAGAGCAAAAGTTAGGCCTGTGCAGCATGTCAAGCTGGGGTTAAATGTGCCCTCCCAGGGAGTAACGATGTGGCAGCGTCCTTCCATTCTCCAGCCACAATGACCATTTTTTAGGCTGCTTGACTGAAGAGGCCTTTGACATGAATTTGGAACAAATTCCTCATTTGACTACCTTGCTTCCCAAATTGCATGTTGTTAAGATCAGTGTGCCACTGCAGCATCCCCTTCTGCTGAACAGCTTCCAGATGATTCATAAGACTGGGTAGTGCAGGGAACTACAGTGGTGCCTACTTGCACTAGTCTGAGCTGGTAAGAGTAAGAAATAGGTGATGTGATTTAATTTGGCTGCCAGACTCTGTGGTGCTGCTCAGGCTGGGAAGTGCTCGTTACCCTGAGCCCTTGGCTTCATTTCTAGGATGATAAAACTTCCTAAAGGTGCCTGGTGTTACAAGGATATGACAAGGCTTTAAAATCCTTATTGCTTACAGCGAAGCTTTTGAGATAATCTGCTCTGGACAGGAAACCAAACCCTTCCCTTTAGGGGGAAATCCTTACTGCTGTCTTTGCCCTCAGAAGTGTCATTTATGGTTCAAAGGAAAAATCCCAGTGCACAGGGGTAGAGCCTCTGCTCTGCTGAGTGCTCTGCAGGACCAGGGCAAGGTGGCCTTCCCAGGTGTTCTGGGCTCTACCTGTGATTCAGATTTGGGGCAGCAGGTTCTGGGGTTGCTGCTTTGACTTTTTGGGAGCTCTGCAAGTTTCTTCTCTCCTTACTGACTTTTGTCTCAGGATTTTCCCACATCCTTTCTGTAACCTCCCCAACTGCAGCAGGCCTCTAAAACAGGGCAAGTGAAAGCGAGCTAAGACTTCAAAAGAGCCTTATTCAAACCCCAGTTTTGAATATCCACTTCAGATGAAGTGTGTGGTAATTTTGTTTTTTGTAGACAGTCCTACGTGGCTCATGAATCAAAGCACAGATCAAGCTAGTCTCATTTCATTAGCTTTATTTGGCTCTGGGAAGGGATGGATCATCTTTCTAAATCGCATTTAATCTGCTTATTTTGGCTAACCTCTTTTCGAGAAGGAAATTCAAAGCCTACCGTGAGTATGTGAAATAAAATGGCCTTAAAAGTAACATTTTGCCACCTCTGCTTCAAAAACAGATGTGGGAAATGGGATGTGATTGATTTTGTGCTACGTGTTTGAATATTGTGGTCTTGTTCTTTTAAGTGCAAACGGATCATTTAGTCATGAGAAGATTCATTTAGAAGATGAGATGTATTTTGAGTGAGGGCCAACTCTACTCCTGTTAAGTTTGCTTGCTACCAATTAAAAGTTATACTTGATGTTCATATTAAAATAAACACAGATATGGAGAAGAGAGGAGAAAGTAATGGAAAAATCAGGCCCTTTGTAATTCTAGAATTGGGCCATTGTGATCATGTTAATATTTAAATTATGATTGGTGACATGCTTTGGGCATGACTCAAAAACCAGAGTTTGTTTCAAAGCAATCCCTTTTTCCTTCCCCCACCTTTATTGATTTCCATGGAGAACGAAAAGTCAGGTGCAGTGTTAAAACTGCCAGTCTTACTTGTTACTTGGGCAATAAAGAACACATAAAAGCATGATGGTGTTCTGTATCTCTTAAAACACCACAGTTCAGTTACTGATAGTGTTGTTTTCTAAGTAAACATGACAATTATGTTGTTTGCCAAAAGCTTTTCTTTTGTTTTTTTCCCCTCTTACAGGAAAATAGTTTCGGAATACGAGAAGACGATTGCTCAGATGATAGGTAGGTGTTCCTGCTCTGAAAGGTACTCTCTGGTTGAAGTCTGTGGACTTCATTTTGATGCTGGCTACACCTGCTGATGCTGCTGGGAATGTGAATGCATCTGAGGACACCTGTGTAAGGAAAATCAGGGCTTCAGTTGACAGCCAGCAGGCCCTGGGGCAGTTCAGGTGACACAGGAGGTCAGGGCTGCCATTTCTGCGTCAAAGCAAACTGTCCCGTAGGAAACACGTTCAAATGGTTTGCCCCAAATTCAGGGGTATCTCCAGGAGAGACTTCCAATGACCTAAAAACCCCTTAGGCATCCACTCCCAGCTGTTTAGTGGCAGATACCAAATTTAGCTCTTCACAACAACAGGGATTATCTGCGCTAAGTGCATCGATTGGACCGAAACCAAGATTAACTCCAATCCCAGCTGGGAGTTTATGAGTGGCCAATCCACCACCCCCCACTCCCAGTTACTTACTGACATAGGAGTCTCCTTTAAGGTCTAAATTACGACGTGTTTTGCCTGTCAGTAATTAAACCCCACCTTTGTTAACAGCACGTCCCACAAATGGAAAGCTCTACGTGTGGTAGCGTTTCCTGCATTTCTCAGCCACTGGGAAACACCCCAGACTCCTTTCAAATGAAGGGAAAAATTTACCTTTAACTAACTAACTAACTAAATTTTGCAATAATGACAGTGATAATAAAGTAATTAATGAAATATCTAATAATGAATAATATATGCTAATGATACGCCTGGCTTCAGTCTCTATGGTGTAATGCCTCCTTGCATTCTGTATGCACAACTGAGCCAAGTTGCCTGCCTTCTGACATAGTGTCTGTCATTGTCATCATGCAGGTGTTAAAATGGGAGTGACCAGAGTATGAAAAGTACTTATTTCATTTTGCTTTGCACTAAATATGCTCTGGTATGTACCCTGAACCTGACCAGTCATATGGACTCACACAGGACCTGTCCTTTTTTCCCTGAGTAACAGTTAGCAACAGAAGTTTCTTTTCAATGACAAAGTCAAATTCTGGTTTTGAAAAACAGAGTTAAAAAAAAAGTAAATTTTGATGCTATGGTGCAAGAAGTAGATACAGAATAGGGGTCCTGAGGCAAAGGCATAGCCTTGGTGTACGTGGTACATTCCACCACAGTCACTACCTCTTGTTGCAAAGAAATTAAGGATAATTAAAGCTTGGGGCCATTGATTGCTGAGTAAACAGAAAGACCTTTAAACTTCACATTCAGAGTATCAGAGTGTTTCAGGTGCTCCATGGCAAGTTTTTAAGAGTTATGACTACAGGTAATTTCATTTGCAAAGGAACTGAGCCAACAACGGGGACACAGAAAACACCTGTTAATTGGAGCAGTATGCAAATTCTACAGCATGGTAGTGTGTTAAATGCAAGGCTTCCCCCTGCATTTAATGTAAATTTTTGATCTAATTGTCCCACTTTCTCATGCCATTTCTCGTAAACTGCTGTCTCTTCTGATACAGGAATCCGCTCATGCAAATGCCACGTGTGGAGGGAAATGTGTCTGTGTGCTATTTGCATGTACTTCACTGACCTGTTATCACAGCAATGCCTTAGTGCTAAAGCAAGATATGCACTCTTACAAAAGAAGTGCCTGTGCTGTTTCTGCTGATGATTTCACCCTTCTGAGCTATTTGTGCAGCCCTGCTAGTAGGGCACAAGTGAGCCAATTTCACCAGTCCCTCTGGTGAATATTCGGTGGGGTCGATGGGTCCTGCTGAGCTTTTTGGAGGTTGGCATATGTGTATAATGAATATTGAAAATATTCCATATTAACAACATAGGGTTGCCTACATTTGCCTATAAAGGCACTGAAAACATGCAAGTCAATAGCTGCCTTTGATTCCAAGGGCTGTGGAAGGTTTGTCATACCCATATGGGACCCAATATCACCCAATTTAGCTTATATGATTATGTGACACTGTACAGCCAGAGCTTCCAAGCTGTCAGTGTAGAGATCACTCTTAGTGACTCTTTGCATATTTTTTTACTGGTGCTTTAACTTTTTTTTCCTTTTTCCTTACATTTTCCTCAACCCCTGACACGTTTTAGTTTAAACTGAGGAGTGGGGGATTAAAAAGACCGACCTTTCCAGGCCAACCTGCTGCTTGTGCTGCTGCTTTGCTGCCTGGTGCCCAAGTTTTTGCAGCTCACAACTGCGTGGCTGTGTGGAGCAGAGCCTGTGTAACCCCAATGTCCACCCTCCACACACCTTGATCACAGCTACCCCCAGTCCCCCTCCAAAATCCCCATCCCAATTCCTTTTCATTGACGGATTTGTAAGTTGGGTTGGGTCATTTTTTTTTTTTCCTGTTAAAAATGTATCCTTATACTTTACATTTAGGGACATTATTAAATCCTCCTTGTGAAAAACAAACAGATGTTATGCTTTGTGCATTACAGGTTGTTGCATTACTTCTTTTCTGCTTTCCTAACAATTCCCGATTTTCTATTTTGCTTCCGTTTTCGTTGCTTCTTGCTATTTGCTTGCAAAAACAAAACAGGCAAGCCTGGTAAGTAAAGCTTTTCACCAACTTTCACACCAGCATTTTGCATTTTTTAGTTACTTTTGCTTTTGTTCTCTGTTTGCTGCATTCCCATTGAGTCGTGTGAGTAACAGTGAGCTGAGCCTGAGAGCGGATCTGGATAGTTTTAGTCCTGAGCATTCTGCTATTATTGCTGATGAGCCATGGACAGTGCATGGTGTCATTTAATTTGAAGTATCTTGATCACATAACCTCATAAATAGCCTGAGAAATAAGTATCTGTAACTGCCTGGCTAAGATTTGGCTGGCAGAGCATGATCAGTGCAGTTCCCTTAAGCAGCGTGTTGGTTGAAACTAAATCGTGGTTTAAGAAAAGAGAAGGTCCCTTCCAACCCAAAACATTCCATGATTTGATGAAAATATCACATAAAACTCCAGTCCCCCTCCAGCCAAAGTCCAGTTTTACTCTTCTGTAGGATTTAACCATTTTGTTTTGGGAGCATCGCTTGCACAGGGCTTGGAGCAACCTGGGATAGTGGAAGTGTCCCTGCCCATGGCAGGGGGTTGGAACAAGATATGCTTTAAGGTCCCTTCCAAACCAAACCATCCTGTGATTTTATATCATTTGCCTCTATTTCCCATGTGTAAATTGAAGTGGGGCTTGGGATTGAGTGTTTGAGGAGCTGATCCAGCTGAGGAGAGAGGAGGGGGCACCACGATGCACTGGGAGGAAGAGGAGGAGGCTCAGTAGTTGTGAGGAAGCCCAAGAATTACCAACTTTCTGCCTGCCCTAAAAACAAGTAAAAGGAAGTTGCTGAAATACCTCAGACAGGCAGGAAAAGTGAAGTTGGGAAATTAAATGCATTAAAGTACAGTAGATGGTCATGCAAAGGGACCCCTTGTCCTGCCTGGAGTTGTGATGCAAGAACTTTTGCCAGAGAACAGGATCCTGCCAGTAAGTGTTTTGGAATTAAGCTTCACAGTGTGTCATCTCCAGCGTGAATAAACAATTCTAGTGCTGGAACACAAGGTGACAGCTTCTCAGATTTAAAAAAATAAACACAGGACAACAAATTTTGATTGAGAATACATTAATTTTGACACTATAGATGAACACAGGGTGTCTTTAAGAAGGCAAAATAGAAAAGAATGTTAATTCTTAATAAAATGTTAAATATATCAAACTGATCTGGCATTACAGGGCTTTGGGTTTCCCTCTTCTGCCATATCAAAGGTGTTTGTTCACCAGTAAAATGAAGGTGTTAAAAAAAAGCAGGTCCTGAGAGTTTCTCTGGTTCCTTTGATCTTCTGCATCACAGACCAAAATTGAATATGCAAAAGGAAGAGATTAATCTCAGATTGGGAATTGACAGTATCAACTTTGACATTTGGTGCTGACCAGCACTATAAATGTTTAATTCAGGTGAAAACTTCAAATAAAAAAGAAGGAAAAAAAGACACTTTCATTTAGCTCTTTATATTATAAAAAAGACCTAAATGAAAAGCTGTACATTCTGAAATGCCCCATGCTGTTCATGTGGGAGAACTTCTTGCCTTATTTCTGTTTCTGTTATAGACCAAGGAAAAGGGTAATATCAAATCACTGTGTTTTGCAGATTGGTTTTCATTTCAGTATCATTCGAAGTAGTCCTTAAAACACAGACACAGGAATCATATTTTAGAATAAGAAGGAAACAATGCAGCATTTTGGAAGACAGTGCCAGACTTTTTCTTCCAGTGTTATATGGATATTCCAACTTATTATGAGGTCAATTCCCTTGAAAAGTTCTCTTGTGTATGGATTTGGATTCCTGTCGTGTTCTTCCCACCCTCCCTGGCTCAAATTTAACCATACACCGGAGGATCTTGGCAGATGTTTTCTGCAGACCAGAGCTTAGGAAGGCTCTCTAGTGTTAGATTTCCTTTCTGCCACATGCTACAGTAATCCTAAAAATGAGAGCTGGCAAAACACTGTTTTTCCAAGGGAAGAATTGGAGTTAATTCCACTAAATAAAGTGCCTTGTTTTTACGAAAGAGATACCAGGAGATAAAAAGCGTATATCAGCAATGGCAAATAATTTGTTGCCACTGCTGATAATATGCATATTTGTCCTTTTCTGTAGTTACTAGATCTTTAGGCAAATAGGGGAAATCCAACACCTACCTTTTCATGGGAACAGCCAAGTTCAGAGTGAATAAACCAGCAGTACAGAGATACATTCACATTTTCCCCCAACATCAAAATATTTAAGTATCACTGTTTTTAGCAACTGTTATCCAAAACAGGATTGTGCCTTTATATAAAAATTACTTTTTTGCATCCTGCAAACTTACTGATAGACAACATAGAGCACAGCATAGTAGAAACTGTAGATGACAGTGAAATCAATGTTCTTACTACTGCTACCCTACTGAAAATCTTTTTTCCCCTCCCCTTCTCTCCTTTCTAACAGAGGATGAACAGAGGGAGAAATCTGTGTCCCACCACACTGTTCAGCAGCTGATAGTGGAGAAGGAACAAGCTTTGGCAGATCTGAACTCAGTGGAGAAATCACTGGCAGATCTTTTCAGGAGATACGAAAAGATGAAGGAAGTGTTGGAGGGGTTTCGGAAGGTGAGTCGCGTCAGCACCTGCAAAGGGCAGATTGAGGGGGCTCTCGTGTGCCAGTGCTGCTGAGCAGGAGGCACAGCTGGTGTTTCCAGCCAGTTCTCATGCACTGCATCAGGCCTAAAGTGCATGACGTAACACAGTCCTCAGGTGAAGGATTGCAGGCAGTTATCAAATGCCAGCAGAGCTGGAAAGCCTTTTGCATTGTGTAATATTGCTTCAGATGGCCTCTGCAGGGGGGTGTCAGCCCTAAAAATAGCCATGTGTGACTCCTACCAATAGGTGCCTGCCCTACATTTTGACCTCTTGGATTAAATTTAATGTGATCTTCTCTTTTAAGAACGAGGAAGTGTTAAAGAAATGCGCACAGGAATATTTATCACGAGTGAAGAAGGAAGAGCAGAGGTACCAAGCTCTCAAAATTCACGCTGAGGAAAAACTGGACAGGTAATTGATTCATGGAATCACAGAAAGGGACTGTAGAGACCATCGTGTCTCAACCCCCTGCCACAGGCAGGGAGACTTCCACTTGATCAGGTTGTTCCAAGTCCCATCCAGCCTGGCCTTGGACACTTCCAGGGATGGGGCACGGATTGTACACACCTTTTTCCAGGAGTCGATGCTGCAGGAGAATTTCTCTAATGTGCTGGTGTTTCTTCCAGCATCTGACCTTGAAAACACCTTAAATTTCTATTTTTATCGAACATCTTCATGTTTCTTTAACAAATTTTCCACGGAAGATCAAGAAAGAGGCCACTAGCCAGATTTATGGAGATGCAGAGGGCTGCAGCTCAGATCTGTGCACCTGCAGCCAGTATTGCTGCCCCCAGAGATTTGCCTCTGCCCCTGTGCTGTCTTATTACCCCTGTATCAGTCAGCAGAACAGAACCTGTAAGTGCTGCTCAGCTCTTTCAGTGCAGCAGCAGTCGGGTGCTCTCTCCCTGCTGACACTGGGCAGCCTAGCAGGATCAGCCCAATTGTGCTGAGGATGACAAGCAATAGTTACACAAAAGATCATACCAGGTGTGCACAGATAAGCCACTGTTAAGCATGAACATCAGGCTGTGGCTTAAGAGAGGCAGCTTTGGTTAATTTTTCAGTGTTTTTTTCTATATTTCCATGTAATGACCAATTAAGCATTTCTAGGAATTACATTCGGAACTCCCAGTACAGTCCCCTGAACTGCAGATCAGATTTACAAACTGCCATAAAACACCTCTACCCAAGTGATTATTTGTGACCCCAGCACAAATGTCTGAAGGGAGCAACACAGACATTAGGAAAAGACTTTGCAGCCTTTGCTGAGCAAGAGAGGGAGTCGTGAAAAGTCTCTAGAGACAAACCTCAGAATGCTGTCGAAGATTTGCCCTCTCCACCCACTGTTAAGGTGCACTCCACCCCTTGGTACCCTCTGCCCTTTCCTGTAGAGATCCTGACGTGACCAAAACCTGTGTTTTTCCAGAGCCAACGCTGAAATTGCACAAGTGAGAGGCAAAGCTCAGCAGGAGCAGGCAGCGTATCAAGCCAGCCTCCGTAAGGAGCAGCTGAAAGTGGACGCCTTGGAGAGAACACTGGAACAAAAGGTAAACAGCAATTCACCTGTCCCTGGAGGTCAGACCAGACCACAGGTCTGCCCTGCTGCTCAGGTCCAGCTGGCTCAGCAGCATCCTGGCATCAGGGAGGGTAGCACTGCCCAGATTTTGGGACAAAATCCTCCATTTGCACCAGGCATTTGAGGCAGATGGTTTGACCTGAGTCTCCCAAGTGCTGGGGGCTGGCTCAGCCTCAGCCAGAGCTCAGGGTGCACCTCTACACTCCAGGCCCTTGGATTGCTTTGCTCCTCGGGTTTAAGACCTTGCTTTGGTTCTTCTTCCAGGTTTTGTTTCCCTTTTTCAGTTTTAGCTGTGATTCCAATGCTATTTCCAAAGTGTCGGTAGGAAATGCCTATTTATAGCTCATGTTCCCTAGCTCAGCCAAGGGAGCTTGCCTTGGCATAGCACAGCTTGTCCTTGCTCAGAGCCCTGCAAAACAGGGTGAAAATAATTAAAATGACAGAAAAGTGCAGCCTAGAAACAAATTTACACTGTGTATCATTACGGTGTGCCGGGAATGGCTGTCACAAAGCTCTCTGCTTTGGTGCTAAACTGGATTTATGGAAGTCAGAGGAGCTCCTGTCTGGGAAAAAAGTAAGCATTGGTTTGAATTCACATAGTTTGAATTCAATACAAACATGTAGCTGTACTATATATGCATATATACCTATATGTGTAGGTATCCTGTTCTCAGGAGTGGAGGAAGCTTAATTTTCCCACATTTCTCCCAATGGTTAGACAACATTAGAAAGAAAACCCTCGTCTTAATGAAGCAGTATTTTTAATAATGCTTAACGCTTTATTTTCCAGAATAAAGAGATAGAAGAATTAACAAAGATTTGTGATGAACTGATTGCCAAAATGGGGAAAAGCTAACTTTTAACCAAATTTCTGGACTTCGATCCTGAGTGCAATATGACCATTGGCACACTGATGTCCATACATTTATGTGGACAGGTTATATTTTCACTTTTTCGTATGCACTACTGTATTTTCTTTCTAAATAAAGTTGATTTAATTGTATGCAGTACTAAGATGACTATCAGAATTTCTTGCTATTGTTTGCATTTTCATAGTATAATTCATAGCAAGTTGATCTCAAAGTTCCTGTATCAGGGAGATTGTCAAGTTCTCTAAGAAATTACAAATTGCTGATCCTAGCCTTCCCTTTGTACATGAGTTCCCATGTTGGATGTCTTTTGGATTTAATATAAACACGTATTACTTGCATGGGGACTCTTGCCTTAAGGAATGTAAACTTTATCTGCATTTGCCGATTTGTAAAATAAAATTTAAAATTTAAAAAAAAAAAGAAAGAAAAAAAAGGAAAATGCATGTCACAAATGAAATTCTCTATTGTAAATAAATTTTTTCGTTGGAAGTTGAAGATAAGTATGGTTCTGTTTTGTGTCCTTCACTTGCCTTATTTCATGTTCAGCACCAGATACAGCAGCTCTTATGAATCAATCCCTTCACAGAAAGCACTTCAAAGGTCACTGCTTGGAACCCTTTGTGGGTCACAAGAATATACTACTTATGTGCACATATCTAGGTCTGTATTCTCTAAATATATATATATATATGTGTGTATATATATGGACCACTCGAGTCTCAAGCATAGTCTTAATCCTCCAAAATATTTAATGCTCTGACCCTGATCCAGCAAATCCCATGGGCAAACGTAATGAGGCTGCTGGAAGGACTTGGAGGCTGTGGCATACGGTGATGGGATGGTTTTTGAGCATGTTCTAGCACTGAGAAGTGAATACATTTCCTTCTTCCTGCTCCTGGAAGAATCTGCCTGCAGGGTTTGTGGAGATGAGGTACGTGTGATTAGAAGTGCCACCAGAATAGGCTCGGTAAGTGGCGTTCTCGCACACCTCTTTATCCTGTAAGTTATCCTCTGCAGAGGATTAGCTATGTAAGAGAGGCATTAAAGCTGTAATAGCAAACAAACTGCTTTCTTTGGCTAATGGTGCACCTCTTGGATCTCCATGATGTGGACAGTCTTCAGCCTGGTTCTTGTCAGCTCCCTTTTTGTCCTCAAAAGTAAGTCAGCTCTCTTTTCTTTCTTTTTTTTTTTTTTTGCTTCGTTTTCATTTCCTGCCTCGGGCGTGGCTGAGCCTCTTTGCTGTTCTGGGCTCCTCTCCTGGGTTGGGTTGGTTTCAGGTTCTTTTGGGTATGTGGTTAGCACAGAATTCCACCTCTGTAAAGATAAATATGTGTGCTGACAAATTCAAATGCACCTTGTCCCCATGAACAGCAAAGGGTGCCATCTGCTCTGCAGGGTTCAAGTAAGGTGTTTTAAGTATTTTCAAATTCATGCCTGCCTTTGACAGTACCACATAGTCTGAGCTAAGGAGAAGAAAGAGGATTGAGTTACAGTTGTAATGTTTAAACAAAAGCAAAACTCAAGATGTATTTTTGGGCTTTCCAGCAGAATTGATACTTAAAGTGAAATCTGGATCATAGTAAGATTTAATGTGTTTTTAACGTGTTTTTTTCCATGGTACTGTGAACCAAGGATCATGATGTGGGGAAGGGGGGGTGGGAAACATGATTCTACAACTTGTTACAGAGAACTCCGCTCTGAAAGTGTTACAGGAAGGTGTGGATGAAGTTACAGAACATCAGATGTCCTTGGATTATTTTGAGCACAAATTGTAACAACTAAATAATATATGACTGATTTTTTTTTTACCTTTAAAATCAATGTCTGCACCGCTTCTAAAAAAGAAACCTCGATAAGATATTCAAAGTCTTTGGATTTTCTAAAACTTTCTGCCATTTTTTGTATGTGCTTCAAACAGAATTAGAGAGACTGTGCAGCTGATATTTTTTAATTCCTTTTTGTAAACTCTAAACCCTACTGCTCTAAGTGGTCTTTTTCCTCTTAACACCAGGTGAAGCACTGCAGTGCTACACCTGTGTAGGTTCTAATGATGAGGAGTGTAACAGACAAGGAACTCAGCAGTGTCCAGGGCATGCAGATGCCTGTGCAGTCATTAAAGGACAAGCAAGTAAGTAACCACAAATGGTTCAGACTCACTAAATTTTTCATAGTAGAAATTAATAATCGGTGTTGGAAAGAGAAGAGTGTAGAGTACATTAAAGAGAAAACCAAAGGTAAATGTTTCCTCTGAAAATAAACCCTATTAATAAGCCTCAGTTTTATTGTATCAGCAATCTGATACAAAATCCTGCTGAGGGTGATTTGTCAGTGCGCCACAATGAGCTGTACCCACTCCATGTGGGTAAGAGCTGTAAAAAAGCATTTAAGTATTGCCAACTAAGTGACTCACCTGGAAATTGGGAAGGAAAATCATCTAAGGAGGCACTGGACTTGTGCCCATGCAGAGGTGTTAAGGCTGCATCTGCTGAATCTGAGATAAATGACAATTGCTCAAGTGGGAGCTTGTCTGTGTTCTGCCATCTGATGCACTTGTGTTCATTTGCTCGCAGAGAGCAGCCAAACCTGGGGTTGGTGCCCAGCATTGGGTGGTCAGGCTCGTGCTGAGGGGCTGCAGGTGGGAGGGGTGAGCGCTTGCAGGTGTGTTTGGGCTCAGCGTGGCTCTGTTCCAGGTGGAGTTATGAAGTCCTGCTCGTACAGATCCTTCTGCGAGAAGGCGAGGAGAGACGGGTACCGAGCGCCCGGAGTGAGCGTCTTCTGCTGCTACTCCAACAACTGCAACAAGAGCCTGGCTTCGAGAATCACCCTCTCCACTGGCTACTTCTTCCTCCTCATCTTTACGTTGCTGTGGCACCCGTTGTTGAAGCTGACATGAGGGGGATTTAAAAAAAAAAGAGTATTCTGAAGCAACAAGTCTGCCTTCTTAGCAAGGGATGGTAATATTTCTTAATCATTTATTACACACACGTCATGTACCACGTATCTCAGTAGGCAAAAAGCATCAGGCAGACGTGACAGATGTTTAGATAAAAATTGTTTCATCTGCTCAGTTTGTCTTGACCTATATGTAAGAAATGCTGCCCTGTTCTTTTTTAATCCTAAGGGGTTGATTGTGCAAATACGTAACGCTGTCCCACAGTTTAGAGAAGGAGGAATCTTTGCTGCAAGTAGCTTTGTAGTAAGGTAAAGGACCAATATCTTCCAGATGCTGTTTACTGTAGGCAGGCACTCAAAAGCAAGCTAAAATTTTCGAGCACAAGGTGACTGAAAATTCTAGCAAGCAGTTTAGTCTTTTAGAGAACACTGGCAAACTGGACAGAGCCAGAAACCTTGAAATAAAAGTGGTTTAGTATTTATACAAACTGGTAAGAGATGGTCATTAAGAGAACAATACATAGAGGTATGTTATATTATGTATTATATCTTATATATTATATTCCTGGAAGTGTTCAAGGCCAGGCTGGACAGGGCTTGGAGCAACCTGGGATAGTGGAAGATGTCCCTGCCCACGGCAGGGGGGTTGGAACGAGATGATCTTTAAAGGTCCCTCTGAAGCCAAACCATTCTATGATTCTATGGTTCTGTGTATCTCCTGGAAAAAAAAAACACCTTCCAGTCTTCTCTTTTCTGATCCTTTGAGAATCCTGCTACAGCACTGGGAGAAGAAGAAAAGAGAAGAGCCTGGGAGTTGTTTTGAACGGGTAAGCTCCCTCCAAAGATCAGGTCAATCTATCTCCTCTGCTGGTTTTGAGAATAAGTGCTTAATCCCTGTCTTGAAGGCTTAAGTAATAATGCTGTTAATCCAAATTCTTGCCATTTCCACTCTGTAGATAATTCTTCACTGTCCTAAACGCTGTTCTTTGACAATAAGAGTATGTGTCTCCCCTCCAATGACGTGATGGAGTTGATCTGAGGTGGTTTATGCATCCTTTTCATTTTGCAAAGTGAACGAAATTACTTGGAGATCTTTAGAGGTGTAACAAACTCAATGAATAGTTTTAATAATCCCACTCATTGCAGTCTTACCAAGTAGATGATCCAGAGTGGGCCACACAGCAGAGGGCATTGTGCATCACTGGTTATTAGACAGATGTGGTGGTCCTTTGGTTATGTTGAAAGTAGGAAAGATGGGAAGTGACATGAGGCGTGGTGTGATAACCCTAAGCAGGGTCTTGGGTCTGTGATGTTGGAGGGCAGGGTGGTACCTCCTCTGATTCAAAACTCAGAGTGACAGGCAACCAGAGGAGTGATATTTGTAGATTTTAATATCCAGCTGTGATGATCTGGTCTAATGCCTGCCCCACAACGTGCATAGGACCGGCCTAAAGTCCAGCTGGTGTAACTGAAGTAGAGGTGGTCTTAGCAGTTCTAGTTTTAGTTGCCTATTTGGACAGATGTTTGGTCATCAATTAAAGGAACTCACAAAGCACGTGACAAGGTAGTTTTCCCACTAGCTTTGTGTCGTGGCTTTTTTCGGTATAGTTCTTTGGAAAATCAGTTCCAGCAGCGTGTCGTACAATTCTGCACATTCACCAGAATTTTAGGAAGTTTGCAAACTCTAGGGAGCTTCTTCAGGTAAAATCAGGGAAACCTCCGTGTAGAGCATAATCCTCACCTGCCTCGTAGCTGTTGCCTGTCACATGGACCAGACTGTCTCCTTGTTTTATTGTCTTCTTTTCTCTATGTGGATCTTTTCGTCATCTCCTGTAGATTGCGGCTTCAGACTGGCACTGCTCTCCTGGGGTTTGTTCAAATGGGCTCAGACAAGGCAGTTCTGGTCTATTTTTAGTCTCTAGGCACGAGTCTGATAAAGCTATGAATATAAAGATGATAACAATGCAGCAAATCTTGGCTGAGAATGTTAATTTGGACTTCAGTGTGTCATCTGTTAAAAATCACTTAAATTGGTGTAAGTATTTTTTGTTTTATTCTCAGCTTGAAGCAGTTCCTTCAATCTGGTCTGCTATGGGGAATAGGTGTTGATTGTATCTTTATTTTCTGATTGTTCTGTAATGATAAGTCTGTATCAAATGTAATCTCTGTATATGCTCAGTGCATTTCCTTAATGAGAAAATAAATTACATGCAATGGCTGACATTGTCTCCTGACATACAGAACTGCTTCTTGTA